GTGCCTATCAGCACGTTTGGGAAACACCTAGCTCAGTGGCATGTGTAATCTTTAGCTACTGCATAAAGGTTTATAACTGAACAGGTAGGTTCTGTGTGATCTAGGATTCAAGAAATGCAAGCAGGGTTCTCCTGTTTTTTCACAATCACATGTAAGAGGTGATGCATGACATAAGCTAATCCTGTTTGTCGGCAAATTTCCAGAGACAAACATTAATCCATTTTCAAAGATCTAGCATCATCTACTGTGTTATAAAAGGAACAGAAACATGGAGCAGAAAAAAAATCTTCAGAACATTTGGGTTGCAATAAAAAGTTATTAGAACATAAGGAGGAGAAGTCTAATGGAGAAAAACGCTTAAGAATCCCCATAAGTCTGTGATTTGGTTAGCTTTTGCTCTGCTATGTCCTGTGCTGAGGGATAGGATTCTACCAGCTACCTTTATGATTTAGGAAAAAAATACAGGTAGAAAGATAATTCAGCTAGATTTCCTTATATCCTTCCCAGACCCTTAGTTCAACATAAAATCAGCATTGGTTGCATCAGGGGTCATTTTGTTACCCCAGACCAACCATCTCAAAAAAGGTAAATGCTGTATATCAAAAACCTTTCTTCTAGCTGAATGTTTCCCCAAGAAGGTTTCAGTCAGCATAAGAAGGGTTTCCAGGTTTCAGCAAGTACAGGTAATTTAAGGGACATGCTTTTCTGAGGCTATGAATAACATTAACATATACCTAATAATGCCTAACCCATTGATCTTCAATCTGCATAACAATTGTTTGGCTTACAACTATCAAAGGAGTATAGAAAATTCTCTCCATCAATGGATTTTAATTCTGTTTGCTGGAGATTTTAATTCTGGGGTGATTCTCTAGGACAGTGGTGGCGAACCTATGGCACGCGTGCCACAGTGGGCATGCAGAGACCTCTCTGTCAGCACATGAGCCAAGTTGCTCCAGCATTGCCCCAGCAGCCGAGCATTGGATAACAGTCCACATAGGGGCCATGCACATGCTAGTAAAGGAGTAGCAGCACCAGGCGATGAAGTCATAAGCCACGACTTATTAGCCGCAGCTGGTCCGAGCTATCCCATGCCCGGTTAGTGCGCTGCCAAGGATATATATATATATTTGCTTGGACTGGCTGTGAGTTGTTTTTTCTAAACTAAAACCTCGGTTTTCAGGTTTTATTGCAGTGTTGGCACATTGCGATAAGTGGGTTTTGGGTTGCAGTTTGGGCAATTGCTCTCTAAAAGGTTCACCATCACTGGGTTAGGGTGAGAAAAACGAGGTGTCCTGGCATGATTTTGATGATTGGAATGTGTTTAGCATGGGCAGAAATGATGAGCTGTGCAGAAAAAGCTACTCAAGGAAGGCTTTTTCAAAATCACCCCTTTTAATGGTATTTTACCCCTATTTTAGGGGTAGGGGAGTGCACCAGGGTACAGTTAGGGCAGTGGTGGTGGATTTATGGAACACGTGCCACAGTGGGCACACAGAGCACTCTCTGTCAGCACATGAGCCAAGTCACCCCAGCATTGCCCCAGCAGCCAAGTACCAGATAACAGCGCACAAAGGGGCCATACACATGCTCGGAAAGGAGTAGCGGTGCCAGGCAATGATGCCACAAGCCACAACTCATTAGCTGCGACTGTTCTGAGCTTTTGCATGGCTGGTCAGTGTGCTGCCAAGGATATATAAATATATATTTGCTTGTACTGATTGTGAGTTGTTTTTTTCTAAACTAAAACCTCAGTTTTCAGGTTTATGGTAGTGTTGACACTTTGTGATAAATAAGTGGGTTTTGGGTTGCAGTTTGGGCACCCGGAGGTTTGACATCACAGTTCTAGGATATCTTCCATCCAGAGTGTGAACAGACCACTGCAAGAAGACTTCAGTTTTTGACACCTCTTTACTGTGACTGGGTGCCCTGTCCAGAAAATACACTCCAAAGAAAGCTACTAGAGAAAGAGCTTCAGTCTCAAGAATATAGAGTGGAAAGTTGAGAAACTCTGCTTTACATTATAGTCCTTGAGCAGAGGAAGAACTTCAACTCTTACCTTCTATATGATTACAGGACACCAAGGAATGGGTTGCAATCAAAGCAGGATGGGGGAGTCAAGATAGGTTCTACTATGCAAGACCTTGGAGGTATTTGGTTGAAGGACTGTGGAGGGGATGGAGGGGAAGAACAGTCCACTGTAAGCCTGATCACCTGGTGGGGGTTCCACAAACAACTCACAGTGTACAGTTTATATTTTCAGTAGCCTTCCCCAAACTTGTGGCCTTCAGAGGCATTTGGACCTCAACTCCCAGGATTCCTATCCAGCAGGACCATTGACTGGGAATTCTGGGTGCTGTAGTACAAACGTGTCTTGAAGGCACAAGGTTGGGAAAGGCTGATTTAGAGGATCAGTTGCTGTGCTGTGTAAAGCTGCCTACTGCCGTATCTACAGTATTTGCCCATCCCATATTCACTCAATTAGCAAGATGTCCTACAGATTCTACAGATTCTGGTGAACTTACTTCAAGGAATGTTTTTGTATCCTAATATGATGCATGATTACCTAGCAGTAAAGCACACTTTGCAGAGTGAGACTACTTCCTAGTAAGTGTGCACTGGATTACAAGCTTCATATTCTTTTATAAGAATAACTATAAACGTGTCTCTTCAAAAGAAAGCCCCGCTGAGTTCAATGAGATGTATTCACAGGTATGTGTGTATAGGATTGCAACTGAAAAGGTAAAGCAAGCATAAGATTCCCTTATATGCTCTAGTGTGAACATTTTGGTGAACCTGGCTGGAATATAATTTCATAAAAATAAAAAGCAAAGTTGTAGTCCAACTAACTGGAGAACACCAGGTTTGTGAAGTCAGGTGAGCTAAATCAGAATGCTGGTGGCTTTTCTAGGTTTTCAAGAAGAGGTCTTTCCAGGCCTGCTAAGTTCCTTCCAACTGGAGATGCCACAGAATGGACTGAACACAGGGCTGAGTGACTGCTCCTCTTGTGACTCAACTCAAGCATGTCAGCAACATGAGTCCACAGGGGAGCTATTTTGCCATAAAATCATAGATTTGGAAAGGACATTGGAGGTCAACAAACTCTGATAGAAGACTGTCCAGCTTCTGCTAAGGAGCGCCTCTCCCAAATCTCATCAGTCTGTTACACTGCCACATAGCTCTTAATGTTTGGAAATATCTCCTCTTATTAACTGGAATCTGCTTCCCTGCAATTTCCACCCACAGGTTCTAGTCCTACCCTCTGGAGAAACAGAGTGCAGGTATGTTCCATCTTCTGCATGACAACCCACTGGGTATAATCAAGAAAGCTGTCGTCTGTAACCAACAACAGTATGATCAGAGGTTGCTGCAAAACTAATTTATCTGACATCATGCTGTTTGCTGAAAGAGGGCTAGTCAACATAGCGTCTCTCACAATGTGGGTAGTGTGTCAGACATTTACTAAGCAACCGTGCTCCACTTTGCTAGTAAACAGTTAATAATCACAAATGCAATAGGTGTTAGGTATGTTAAAACCTGAAATTCTCCCATGCAGAATCGTTGCTATAGGAATGTGTTTTTGCTGTTATGGATTCAGCTGATTTCTGCCCCATACTACATTCTGCAAATTTCTTACAGAACTTTGGGGTCACAGCATGTACACATACAAACAGACATGCTGCCATAAACTTTTATCTGAGATAATGGAGTAGTACTTGATCACATGACCATGACTTGGATCAATTTAAAGAAGTTCCTTACAAGTAATTGATGAATCAGGAATGGAAGCAGCTATCCAAAGATGGTGATGGGCCAATGGGCTGAATCCTTTAAGGAAATTTGACAGGACTTGGATATGCTTACTCTGAAGAAATGATGATCATGAGAAACCATCCTGGAGGTTAACCTGAAGATGTGGTGTGATACTCTTCTTCAGATATTTGAAGGAATGTTGCATAAGATAACATTGGTTCTGGTTCCATCTACTGGAGCAGTGAGAAAAGGAAGCTTGTTTTTAGTTGCTCCAGAGGGCAGAACCTGAACCAACGGGCTTCAAATTGCAAGGAAGCAGTCTTTGTTTACATTTCTAATTTAAGCTGCCATTAGGTAAAAGGGCCTTGGAAATGATAGCACAAGGCCAAGAAACAAACTTTCCAAAGCTGGGTTTTCCCAATGTTTTGGCTACCACCCCATCCAGCTTTAATGAGAAAGCATGATAGGAGTTCTTATGCAAAATATCTGGCAGGACCTGAGTTGGAGAAGCCTGCCATGAAGTTAGGTAGCACTATTAATATTCATTAGTCTGATAGCTAAACTTCCTTGTTTTGCCTTTGACTGCAAGAAATAAAACAAGGAGCAGCCCTCACCACTACATCCTGCCCGCATGCTTTCACTTCTCTAATTGCTGCCAGGCAGACTGCTAGTTTAGCTGGAGCTTGGCCTCATTCAATAAGCAGATTTTTATGCTTTTAAGAAAGCTGGAGAAAAGGAGCCTTGCATCTGCCTTCTTTTGCAACACTGCTATGAGTGTTGCGTCAAGCCATCCAAGGTTGTTTATGCCATCTATTTTGAAGCTCCTTTTTGTCACAAGATTACTGTTGGACTGTTTTGGTTGATGAATGATTTTAACTTAAGATTGCACTACTTTTAAAAAATATGGTTCAAAGAGAATGTTTTGTACATTTTTACATTTGCTTTTATTTATTGTACTGTTCTTATATTGTATGACTGTAAATTCCTTAAAGGAAAGGCAGGCTAGGCATTTGCTAAACCAAATGAAAATAAATGCCAGCAAATACATTCCATGGAAACACGGAGCTGTGCCATGAAGGGAGGAGCTCGGCAGCATTTTCTGTTTCAGCAAGCACAGGACACAAGAGTGGCTGCTTGTCAACGGCAACAGTCGTGCTACCACAGAAACAGACTGCTGGGATGCTTTCCTTTAAAACCTTATCTTGGCTGAAAGTCTTTCTTTTCAGAAAGTAGGACATCCAGATACATCAGTAAAAAAAAAAGTTTATTTTCCATACAAAAGTGCCAAAATATCCACCAACATTGAATTCTAGTTCAACAACCAGCTTATTCTAATAATCAAAACTGAAAGCATTTTTATTTCACATTTTAAAAGCAAAATTCCTTTTCACACATTTCCACAATAACCCGAGTCCCTAGAAATAGGGAAATTTGCATTCCGGTTAGCTGCTGAAGTCCATATGTCTAAATTCATATAGGCACGGAATGGGTTAAATCTCGGGTAATATTCCTGCTTACAAAGAACTGCCTGGTTTTCCACCTGGGTTGAATGCTGAGTGGCGGCACTGACTGGGCAACAGCTTTCATAGACATCACTCTGAGGGGCCCAGATGGAACCAAACAGCCCGGACATGGGTGACAGACTCCTGGTGCTTGAGAGGTAGGACTGAAAGACAAGAGAAAAGAGGCAGGAGATGGCATCCATGCATGTATTTAGAAACAAAGGGTTAGAAACAAAACAAACAAACTAATGACATCAAGCTGGTGGAAATGAATGTTCACACAAACATGGGTTTCCACCAGTGCTCACAAATGGTGCTCACAAATACTGCTTTTTAGTACTGTTGGGGGGAAAAGAAGGTTTCTGGGGTGGAAAATGAAATAGGAATCTGGTTGAAGTGGTAATGTTAGCCATGTGAACATGGCTCCTTAATAAACTAAAAGCACATTCCAGCGCCCTCAGTTTCAGATGAACTTGGAATACTGCAAACAGCCAATGCTTGGGTAAGGTGTGGCAGTGGTAATCTCTCAGCTGCCCAGACTGAGCGCCGTGGGGGTATGAGAGGATCTGCCCCAGTCTCCTCCCCTTCCTCTCTGCAACACACCACTTTTCACCTTTCTGAGGCCCAGGTGCAACCTCAAGAGGGCACCCAGCAATATTCTTTCCACACTGGCTGCAAGGGGTGGGTGGCTTCCAAGACCCAGCTCCAAGCTGACGAGACCTCAGAGACAGCACCTCAACCATTCTAAGGTGCCCCAGACAACATTGGGAGGTCACAGGACTTCACCCTAAGTCACTTGTAAAATGCCTTAGTGCATAGCAATTATATAATTAAAAGGGAAAAAATACAGTTTTTTGTTTCATGTAAAGAAAAACTGTTGCGTGTCAACCAATTTAATACACTGTTTTGGCAAAACTTGTACTGAATCTAAGCTCTGCAGCAGAGCCAAAAACATTCTTTGGGATGGTTGCTCATTTTGATAAAGGCAGAAGTGTGAACTTCCATCCACTTTACCTGATTTTTTAAAAATATTTAATTTGGGCAGAATCCACTGGTGGGTAGCTATGGATAATAAGGCTATGCCAATGAAAACCAAGACTTGTTCAATGTAAGTACCACAGCTGAAAAAACAATTATGTGCCACTAAAATGAAGCAGCTAAAAGAGGAAATATTTCCTTGAAACCAGGCATGTACTCCCCTCACAACTTTAAGAAATACCATCCCTTTTTGCATTTTGGCAGCCAAGTGCTGCTCTCTCCTCTTGTGCTAGTTGCACTACACAAGCATTAGTTTATGTTAGTGCAACTTCATTAATGTTAGCACAGGGACTTCTCTAGTTTCCTTGAAGGAATGGAAGCCTAGACATTTGCCAAATGAAATTAAAATAAAGGACATCATTGGATACTCATTGTCTTGAGTGGCACAGAATGTTCTGCATGTTTCAGGCTTTATTTGTGCACTGTATTTGTGCTCTACTATTTCCTTCTGAATGGGGAGCTATGTGGTGAGACAATTCAAATAATGACTGGATTCTCTGTAGAGCTTCTGCCTTGCACTGTTTATCGCAACAGGACTAGCTTCCTGCAAAGTCTTACATACAGTGCAGCATATCAGTTTGAATAATATATAACCCTTAATCTTAGAAGTGGTAAAGGGGACTTGACAGGGCATATCATTATTTTTCTTCCTAAAGCACAAATATTCCATTGTTGATTTCTAGTATTACTTCTTTTTTAAACTTACAGTGCACTTTTCTAAAATAAAGATTTCATTTGGGAGACTGAGTAAGGTGGCGAAATGGATGCTCTGTGCATGTCACAGTGGCCATGGAGACCAATGAGGCTGCAGATGACAATCTGACAGAAACGCTCCTAACTAGGCTTTTTCTTCCTCGGCTATTTCACCTACTTCCGTTTTAAAAACCCAGCCTGCGCAACAGTGAACTATCCCTTGCTTGTATTTCAGTTGTCAACTGATATTACTCATTTCTTCCTAAGGAAAAAAGTAGAACTTCATACAGTATTTCTTTGCCACTTGCTCACAGAAAAGTCCTGTAGAAGATATGCATCTATTGTTCCAACATTAAAATCAAATTAAATTTAAAAAAAAAAACTGGAGCAGGTTGGGCCAAATCTCAAAATGCATCCAGTTTTAAGACCCCACAAAAAAGAAATGAGCAGCTGAAATATTCAGAAAAGCAGTAAAAACGACTAGATGGTTGCCATATTGCTATGTCACATGAAGATAATGTTTGTGATACTCACTGTTGGGTTGACATAACTGGTAGGTTCCCAAGTTGAAGGAAGATTAGGCGGAGCATTCCAAGTAGACTGACAGTTGTGATCAATGAAGGCTGTGTTCTGAACCTCGGCAGTGCAGGGGAAGCCATGATGATAGTTCATGTTTTCTACAGTTTAGGAGACAGGACAGTTTCTGACTTTTGCACAGGAACTGTGCATTTCAAATTGTAGCATGTCTGCACACTTACAAACGTTAGCACAATAGTTTTTCCTTGGTTTCGGTATCCTGCATGTTTGGTCTTTGGAATTCACTTGGAAAAAGGAAGGGAGAAACAGGCTGTACTGAATACTCTTGGGTCTCCTTGAGCACTGTGAGTGCACACAATGACTGCACCAATGAGTGCAATTAAGTTAGGCGGAAAGACAGGGAAAAGGGGGCTGCAATGCTTGCAGAAAAGCTGGGCTGATGCATGGAGACTGCTACCCTTTGATGTCTGAAAACATTTACCAGAACATCGAAAATTGATAGAAGATGACAAGCCGCAATCTGTTTCCATTAAAAATTGCTTAGTTTGGAAAGACCCTTACCTTCTGTAAAAGTGTTGTACTCGTTCACTTCTACCGGACAGTACATGTCGGTAAACTGGCCGTCACAGGATGCATTCCAATCAATGAAGCTATTCCAAACAGAGCAAAACTTATCAGGAACATTTTAACAAAACAAATTCCACTCCCCACCTCGACTATGCCAAATATGCGTTCATAATTACAGCACTGCAGTATTGCTCTAATAAAATACATAAGAGAGAAGGAAAAAAAAACCTGCCCATTTTGTAATGAAGGGTTTTCCTGGATCACACAAGAGATGTTGTTCTCAAGGCTGTAGTTTACACTGTTTGCCAGGCAGATGGACTGAGGTGCCCACAGATCTCCTGCTGGATACAGCCCTAGAGAGGCAAGTAAAATTGACAAGAGCAAAAGCATAAAATAGAATGCTATGAAGTTTCATTATTACCATGCAATTCTAGTTCCAAAAACTATATCATGCATTGAGGAAGTATTCACCACCCCCCTTTTAAATTTTCCACATTTTGTTGTGTTACAAACTGGAACTGAAATGCCATTGTTACCACTGGATGAACACAAGGTACTCAACACTGTGAAAGTACAAAATATTTTTATCATGGCATAAAAGTTAAAAAAACAGAAACAAACTGGCACTTGTTGGTGGCCATATGCCATATTCTGTCATACTTTGTTATAAAAGTATTTCCAGTGAAGAAATCTTGTCATATTAATACAAAGCATCAGGGGATTTCTTCAAAATGTTATGTTGGGTTTTCACTGAGGATAAATTGAGACAAAAACGGACAATGTGAACTTCAGCCAACTTCTCTTTATAATCTCAGAACAGCTCACATTATTTGTGTATTTTTTAAATCAATCTGGTGCCCTCCAGATGTTTTGGACTTCAATTCCCATTAGTCCAAGCCAGGAGACTGGGAAATTTATTCCAAAACCACTGGAAGGCACCAGGTTGGGGAAGGCTCTTAGGCACTTGACTGAAATCTACATGGAATAAAAATAACGGACAAATCCAATTATATAGAGGGTATTCATAGCAATCAATCAGCAATATTGAAGTTTATTAATCTGATTAATTTACCTTTATTTTTGTCTGGATCTACAGTTATGTCTGAGAAGTTGGGACACATAGTCTCTGGATACTGGGTGACATTATTTACATCTCTGCTAAAGAAAAAGTTAGGGAGAAATTATTTCACATTTCGAACAATCAACAATGGTTGTCCCAATACAAAAGATATGGATGCCATTATTTTATTTTTGCATTTTAAGCAGGCATGTTGTATTCAGCTACTTCTATTTCTAGAAGGTAATCCATAACAGAAAAGACACTATATTTAAAAGTAAACATGTCCTAGAAATAAAAGATATTAGGACACATTAGGAAGCTATTAGGACATAGTTTTCTAAAAGAAAAAAAAATGAACAGGCACTACCTGACCGCTGCAAATTTAATCTAACTCATGCCTTTCAGTACATTTTTTAGGTTTCAAACCACTGGGACTTAACTGATTTACAAAAGAAGAGGATCATTAAAACCCTTACCTGGTGTTGCAGATGTTGTGAGAAAGGTTTAAAGTAATGGGTGTTTCGGCTGTAAAATCACTGCATGAAATATTTTCCCCTATACAAAGCAAAGACTATGTATAAGACATTTTAATAACATAAAGTGAGACAGTTTACTAACCATTGGGCTGTATGAATTTGCCAAGGACAGATTATTACAGGAATTATATATAAATAGAATATTCCCTACACCTTTATGTGGAGATTACAAGGAGTGAAGAGATAAGACTACAGTTCTGACATACCTACAGCCAGCATCCTGCAATCACAGACTCCCAAAGCCAGCAAGGGTTACATAAGCTTGCACCTTTTTCTCTAACAAGATTTTAAGAAAAATATAGCAGAGAAGAACGATTTGCCCAATCTATAGTACCGTTCACAACCTGTACTATTCTGCAATAAATGCATAGGATGAGAATATGCCCTTCAAATAACAATTCCTGAATGTCTGCCTGTACAAGAAATAAAATATTTGTGTAACATTTTAAAGGAAAAACCAAACTTGTTACGCCTACTTATTTGTTATGGGAGCAACCTGAAATTCAATACCCAAATAACTGCCTTTTTAAAGCAGGTGCCGTGGTACTAAAGCGGTTTGTGTATTTGCTTAATAAACATATTTAAATGTAGGATTATATGTTATTAGTTGGCAGAGATTTTAGTTCAACTAAAGGTTTTTCCACTACTGGGATAGATATATGCATTTCATAAATAATATCAGGTAATTGCAAATCAAGTAGTACAACAAATTATTTTAGCAGAGATGGATAGCTACCTTGAAGAGCATTTGTTACCCAGTAATAATAGGTATTGGACAATATTTTTGGAATTCCCACCTCTAAAGCAATAACCTCAAGAAATGCACTTGCTGCTTTTAAAATTAGCAGGAATACAGAACATGCACACAGCACCATCAGCACCACTCACTGGAAGGAAGGAAGGGTCTGCTGGGAATTATAGGCTTTTTATCTCCATCAGAACTGCTTGTACTGCTCCAGCTGCCCCAGCTGCCTCGACTGGCACGGACACTTCCTGAAGAACTTCCACAATCTGAGCTTGAATCTGAGCAAAACCTTTCCAGGCACTTCTTCTTGGGCCACTGATAGAAACCTTCTGGTAGATTGCAAAAAAGGATAAGAAAATAAAACACTGACTCTTTTCAACCTACTCTTGCTGGCAGGCACATATACAAATGGTCACATCATTCTCTTCTACACCTTATTTTCACACTTGTGAACTGGCATTGGATAATGTCAAGATCAGCTGAGTGCTACTTAAATGATCTGTATTGCTCAATTCCTTCCCATCAAGCAGGAACAGTCATACACAGAAAGAGGGCAATGAACTAGTAGATCCATCCCTTTGTAGCACATGGGGCAGTAATCAATGTGGCACAATGGTTAGAGTCTTGGACTGTGACTTGGAAGATCTGGATTCTAGTCCTTCCTCAGCCATGAAGCCCAGGGGTGGCCTTGAACCAATCACTGACTCTCAGCCCAACACAGGGTTGTTATGAGGATCAAACGGAGAAGAGAAGGATTATGCAAAGCCATCTTGACTTTCTCACGGAAAAAAAAATAAATGTCAATAAAATAAAGCAATCAGTGGTGTCACAGTGCTATCTCTGGTGGTGCTCATGATGCTGCACAAATGTTGCTTTGAACTCACTTTGACAGCATCGGCTAATACCCATCCTATGTAGCAAGTACGGCTTATGATGAAGGAGAAGACAGCAAATAGATTACATCTTACTTGCTTTTGGTTCACTTGAGTGCATACCTGCTTCTCTCTGTGTAGACAAACTCGCTTTTTCATCTCCTTTACAAGTTTCCCCATTGCTCTGAGCATACCAGTTTCTTATATTAATGTTTGTTCTAAGTTCAGGTCTTTCAAACTCATTGCAAACATGTTTCAACTCAGTCTGTTCAGGAACCCTACAAGAGTCACAAAACGAAACAAAACAAAACAAAACAAGGTTCTATTTTCTGTTTCAGCCCTTCTACATTATCAATTATGGGAAGAACCTTTACGTATACAATTAGAACCCAAAAGGGCCTGACACAGGAAGTCTCACATACAGCTCAGACAACCTCATGAGGGTGATTGGGCTGCTCTAATACAATTTAAACTCCTTGGAGGAAGGGTAGAATACAGAGCAGCTTCCCCCAACCAGAAGTGTTGGAATGTGATCTTCAGCTAATGACCACTCTGGCCATGATTAGAGATGATGAGAGTTGTAGTACAACATATATAAATGGCTGGGGAAGGCTGGATAAACACATTGATGAAACTAATAAAAAGGACTGGATCCTGAACTTGTTTCTTGCAGATGGAAGAGCTGCTTAAAAGTCTTCAGGTCCTGCTGCTGCAATTGTGCAGCAAACATGTTTTTGTCATTTTCTTACCCTTGTTGTGGTCTCCTATGCCACCATAAAATCTGTTCCAAAGGACTGAGGGACAGGCAAAACATGGCCCTTCCCTTCATATTTGCCAACAGGAGCCTTCCCAGTGGAATTCTACTCAGAGGAAGCATTAAGCAGTTGAAATATTGCACCTTTCCTTAAGTTAATGAACTTGCATATACAAAAGGTAGTAATACATACCGTGCAGATATATTCATATGCTTCTTCTTATTTTTTCTGTTTGTCCTATGTCGATTCCAACTTGTATTTGGCAAATGTCCTTCTCTTTTCTCCTGAGATCCATTTTTTCGGTGAGTGCCTTCCAGCTGAAAGGCAAAAACAGGGCTTAGTAATACAAATACACATACTCCAGACCATGGAGCTGTATCAAGTGCTATAGTCCGGTAGAGGATGTCATGGCATCTTGATTGACACTTGTTAATCACTCAGAAAGTTTCACTGAGACCATAGTTTAAAGTTGATAATTTTCTGGTACTGCAATGGGGTTAGTGTACACCTTCACCCTCATCCTACAGGTTCCTGGATTCTCACTTGAGCTAATGGAATAGAGGCATAAAGGACTGACCACTAAGGAAGACTGGTCTATACAATTGTGGCTGGATTAAACCGAATTAAACCCATCTGTCAGATTTATAACCAGCTTGGTCATAAGTTTACCCAATCTAAATTCTCATTTTCTTCATTTTCCCTCACTTCACCTGAGGAATTCAGAGAATCCTTCACCTGAATTCCTATTCCAGGAAGGGACAAAGGTGCTTTGGATTACACAGTTATAGCAACAGCAATTCCTAAGGCACGGGTACAGAAGTTTCAATTTTCAGTGCTACATGTTGTCTACTCAGAAATAAGACCCACTTTCAGTGGTAAGATGGGACTTACTTCTACATAAGGGTGTATAGGATTGCCACCTAGTAACATTTTTGTTTTGGCTTTGACAATGCACCTGAGCTGCAAATCTGCACAGTTGAAATGAAATGAGTGCTCTCACCCTGGATAGCAGTGCAAAAGATTTTACGCATTCAGACCCTAGATTTATTTATTTAAAAATTTCTATGCCGCCCCATTTGCCGAAGCCTCAGGGCGGCTTACAAAACATCAGTTAAAATATAAAACACTAGAAATATAAAACACATTAACATTATAAAATAAGTCGCCCTGGCCGAAGAATTAAGCAAATAATATTAGCAATTAAAATGTCGTTTGAATAAAAAGGTCTTCGCCTGGCGCTGAAAAACAAATAACGACGGCGCCAGGTGGACCTCTCTGGGGAGCGCATTCCATAGATTGGGTGCCACTGCTGAGAAAGCCCTCCTCTGAGTACCTACCCTCCTAATTTCCTTCACGGAGGGTTCCCGGAGAAGGGCCTCTCCCGCAGATTGCAGGGGGCGGGCGGGCGGGCGTATATGGACATAAGCGCTCCTTCAGGTAGCCAGGACCCAAGCCGTTTAGGGCTTTATAGGTCATCACCAACACCTTGAATTGGGCCCGGACTTCAATGGGAAGCCAGTGAAGCTGACGGAGGACTGGAGTCATGTGAACATAACGCCCAGTCCCCATCAGCACCTGGCAGCTCTATTTTGAACCAATTGAAGTATCCGGACCGTCTTCAAGGGTAGCCCCACATAGAGCGTGTTACAGAAGTCAAGGCGGGAAGTCACCAAAGCGTGTGTCACTGTCGCCAGGCAGTCATTCTCCAGGTAGGGGCACAGCTGATGGATCAGCCGAAGCTGAAGGAAAGCACTCCTCACCACTGCTGTCACCTGAGCTTCCAATGAAAGCTCTGGGTCGAGGAGCACACCCAAGCTGCGGACCTTGTCCCTAAGAGGGAGTGCAACCCCATTCAGGACAAGGTTCAATTCACCCTCTCCGAAGCCCGATCTGCCAACCAACAGGACCTCCGTCTTGTCTGGATTGAGCTTCAGTTTATTGGCCCTCATCCAGCCCATTACCTAGGCCAGGCACCGGTTCAGCACAGCCACTGCCTCACCTGGATTGGTGGAAAACGAGAGGTAGAGCTGGGTATCATCAGCGTACTGATTATTCCGCAGCCCACACCTCCTGATGACCTCTCCCAGCGGTTTCATGTAGATGTTAAACAGCAAAGGGGACAAAATGGACCCCTGCGGTACTCCATGGCATAGCTGCCATGGCGCAGAGCCATAGTCCTCCAGCACCACCTTCTGGAATCTGTTATTGAGGTAGGAGCGGAACCACTGAAAAGCAGTGCCTCCAACCCCCAATCCCGCCAGCCTATCCAGAAGGATACCATGGTCGATGGTATCGAAAGCCACTGAGAGGTCCAGAAGAACCAACAGGGACGCACTCCCCCTGTCCTTCTCCCTGCACAGGTCATCGTACAGGGCGACCAAGGCAGATTCAGTACCATACCCGGGTCTGAAGCCAGACTGAAATGGGTCCAGATAATCCGTTTCATGCAAGAGAGCTTGGAGTTGTCCTGCCACCACCTGCTCCAACACCTTGCCCAGAAATGGGAGGTTGGCCACTGGTCTATAATTAGTGGCCATCTCTGGATCCAGTGATGCCTTCTTCAGGACCGATTGGACTACCGCCTCCTTTAAAGGGGCAGGTACCTAACCCTCCCTCAGAGAGGTGTTAACCACTTCCAAGATCCAGATCCCAATCCTGTGCTTGGAATTATTTATCAACCATGACAGGCAAGGGTCCAATAGGCAAGTGGGGGGACATACTCGTCCAAGCACCTTGTCCACATCATCAGGCCGCAATAACTGAAATTCATCCATTAATTTTGGACCAGACGGCAGCATTGGTGTCTCCCCAGAAACCTCTGAGTCACTAGTAGAGTCTAGCTCGTGACGAATCTGAGCGATTTTCTCCCTGAAATGCTTGGCAAAGTCGTTGCAGTGGGCCTTCGAGGGAGGAACCAGATCTTTCTTAGGACCTGGACAAACCAGGCCTTGCACCACTTGAAAAAGCTCTGCCGGACGGCATTTTGAGGAGGCAATGGAAACGGAAAAGAAATTCTTTTTCGCCACCCTCACTGCCACAGCATAGGCCCGATAATGGGCTCTAAAGTGTGTTTGGTCAGACTCATCCCGTGATTTCCTCCACCTACGCTCTAGCCGTCTCCCAGACATAGATGTGCCATACAATTTTGGAAATCTAAAGTTACACTGCCATTTTGAAAGCTGAAAAGAACAATCCTTTCTGTGCAAAAATAGAGCTGAATCATATTGTTGTGATGTCCTGGAGAGAGGGTGTTTCACAGAATCTGAACTTCCTGACCAGCTCTGAGTTTTAGTGATTAAGTCTTTTGTCTCCACTGCCTGAGGCACACTGACCAACTAATACTATTAACACAGTGGGCAGCAGGTTGTTTCCATCTCAGAGATTTTTGTGTACCCAGACACCCATGTGTCCATGTGCTTGCATCAGCTTGTATAGAAACTTCCTCAAATTGCTACATGCCTGAATATCCAACTATGCTTGCCCGCTATTACAACAGTCATATGTTTGAGTGTCTTTCTGTGACTGTATTTAAAATACTGTTTAAATATTTAAAAAGTGATATGTAGCAATTCAAACCTCCACAGAAGAAAGTTCCTGTTTTCCACCACACAGCGAGTCATCTTTAGGCCCTTTGTTTATCATCTTCTCTGCAGAAGGCTTTGTGTTTACCTGCTTTTTCAAAGTCTCACAGTTTTCTGTTTCATTCCTGAGAGGCACTTGCTGGTTATTCCCTTAAAAAAGAAAAAGGGAAAAGGACATCACTTCAGTTTGGAAGAGAAGTAAGTACTGCGTGTGGTTTTCCAGTATGCATGAATTTCAAATACAGCTTTCAAAGATACAGGATTGAATCCAGACTTGATCATGCTTCAAAATCAATAGAACTTAAGTCATGCCTAAATTAAGTCTCAATGATTTCAGTGAGCCTACTCTAAGCATGACATAAATCTGAATCTAACCTATGAATCCTTTTGACATAACATTACAATAGGAATGTCTTTGTTTCCTCGTCTACTCAAAATTAAGGAATCAAATCCACGGTGATCTGCTTCATGTGACATGATCGTCCATTGTGGGCAGCTAACCACAATGGTTTTTTTTTACCATAACCTGAACCAATTTCTATAGATGGCTTATTCTTTGCAAACAAGCCACCCTGACAACCCATGGCTTGTGTTCCAGGGGTTGCTTGCACCCCGATGGCTTATTGTGCCATCCAAACCTGGGAAAGCACAGGGTTGCTGGGATCAGCTACAGAGCCACTTAACAGGAGAGGCAAAATTTTCTGCCACTCACCTGTACTGCCAATCAGTGACTGCTCTTTCACCTATTCTGCCAATGCCCAAATGCCACTATGGATCATCTGTCAATTCTTTCCAACTCATTTTGGTTGTTGCTGTTCCCTACAAATGGTGCAAACGTGCTCAGAATTCTTAATTATTATTAATTTTGTTGGTCTTTCACAAGTGTGCAGGAGCACGCTTGCAGCTCTCCAACATATGCAGTCTTGCCTAGTCTATTTTCTTGTACATTTCAACTGTTCAAGAGAGCACTAAGGTAGAGCAGAGACCATTCAAGGAAACTGTCAAGCTGAGATGACATATAAGCTAAGAAGTTGCTCTTTTAAAGCTGATGGGAATACTGGCTGGGAAGCAAGGAGATGGAAAGTTTGTGCAATTAGAGGCTTGGGAAGTAAATGGAGAGGGACTCTGTAGACCTGAATTAGCTGCTTTGTTCCTGCAGGTGTGCAAATTTCCTCTTCATTTAGTTTTCATCCCTGAAATCTGCATACATTTCCCTTCCAGTTACTTTCCAGCCCAAAAAACTGAGCAAATACTCGCTTCATAAAAAAAAGCAACACTTAGTGAGGGTCAGACAGGACTGGGGACAGCACTCCACAGCCTCATGACTTCCTCCAGTGCAGCTGCTTGCATAGGGGTTTTTAAAAAGGATTTGGTGAATGTTAATATTTCCCTTTTCTGGAGTAGCTGGAGAATTGCAAAGTGCTGAGGAGGAATAAAAAACCAAGAACTGTCAGTTCAATACATATAAGCCAGAGGATATTTCTAAAGGAAAAATATTGTCTGCACCCCACTATTAGTGTAGTTACACCGTTGGTTCCTACCCTGCCCTAACCTTGGTGGTTCTAATTATGCTAATAGATCCTTCCTTTCCTTGACTATTGAGAACAGTAAATGGAGCTAAGAACAATCAGGGCAATACTACAAAACTTGGAGGCTCACTCCCAAAAGGAGAAGATGGAGCTCCCCATCCTCCTTCATAAGGAAAGGTCCCTTCCTGGCTTTGCTTTCTTTTTGGTGGCTCTCCATCTGACAGCTGTCAAATGAAGAGCAAAGTATCAATTAATGTACTTTCAGCCTTACTCTTGCCATTGTCTCGCCATTGACAGAAGACCCTTACCAGGATACCGAACATGCAAGGCTTTATATTTTGGCCAGTCAGAGACATGTCTTGAACGCCTCTGACGTACCGACAAAAACCCTAAACATACAAAAATCTGTGCACATTTTGTGTGTCTAAACTTTTTTTTTTGAAGGTGGCAACCAATGTGCTCCAATGTGCTGCTTGGGCACTCACTGCTGCCACTGACTTATCTAATGAAAAGGCACCAAAATTAAAAATAGGGAGGAAGGTGTGGCAGCAAGCAAAAGAGGGAACACGACTGAACTGGGAAAAGTACTGGGAATAGAATAGTGACTGCTACTCCAAAGTGGGACAGCTGTCACTGCTGCAGGCACAGGCAAGCTCAGAAAAAGCAGCAAGGGTTTTCTGCCCTTCTTACTGATTCATTCACCACATTCCTCTATTCACTATGAGGTCAGTCTGCTGAGTTCAGATGACACAACCACCAATTGTGAGTGTGGCAGTCCCTACGTCAAACTGTGAGTTGCCAGGCTGGTACACGTGGCCTAAAACACGCCACTCTGCAGGAAGCGGTCCAGGTTCACATGACAGAACCCACCATGACCCATGACAGGCTGCTATGATGTACAAACCCAGTCACTGATTCTGACTAGAGACATGATCTTGTGCTACATCAGCATTGGGACATAGAGAGGTATGAGATGAAGATAAAAATGCATCCTTATTCTATGAAAGTTGACTGGCTTAAATGTGTCTCAATCCCAGGCAAGTAAGCTTCTGTTTGATATGTAGTGAAAGCTAGATATGCAATGTATTGCCATTATTTAAATTACACAATACATTATTAATAATATTTAATGTCTTGCTTCTGATGTGGCCAAAGAGTGTGTCATTGTCCTTTCTATTATCATGCTCCCTCCAGTAGCATCCCTAGCCACTTCAGCTAAAGCCCAGTGGAAGATGTCACAAGACTGCTCTTCTGCATGGCTTTTTTAGATCACAAATTATGGGCAGCTGGGGAGACTGCAGTGTGATAGAGGCTGAAAAAACACCGCTCAACTGCCTTGAAATCATGGCAAGTTCAAAAACGCTACTGATAGGTATTTAAATTAAATTCCAAAGCAACTTTTGAATAAGGCAAAAAACATAATGCCCTTCCAAGGGGGAAAAAAACTTCTGGAAGACAGAGTTTTGCACAGCACTCATCAAAATGATAAAGGCAGCTTAAACCTGGTAGGGAAAGAATTGCATTCTTTTGAAAATTCATTTCCAGCCCTCAAAAAACTCCCCCCCTTCCATAAAGTTATGCTACCTAGTTAAGTGATCCTGCATATGCAGATTTGCAGGGCCCTATATAATACCTTGCTGAACCTGAAGTTTCATCTAATTCAGCACTGCATTTAGCAAGAATATTTTGTACTAAGTGATCTATTTAAAACTTGTCAGTGGTCAGATCTGTACTTGAGTAATCAGCAAAAGCTAGATCCTGCTAGTGAAACAGTCTGCTGGCTACTAGTCTACAAATCAATACACACATTTTCAACTAATGAGTTTAAAGAAGATAATCCTGTTCTATATTAAAAAGAGTACCATTATTTTTCCTGGAAATGTCTTGAAATTCTGATGGTTGCTGAGGTGAATGTCTTGGGAAGCGACTTTCCGACGGTTTCTTTGATGACTTCAAAGGACACAGCTCAGGCTCTTTGAGCTCAGTTATATTTTCTGAAGTCTTAAGGTTCGTTTCCTTAGGAAACATATTTGTTCGAAGACCCTCCTTCAAACTGCCCTCTGAAGAAGTATTTTTCACAAGTGTTGCATTTTTCAATGCACTTTCTTCTTTATCTACAAAGTTCCCTGGATGTGTTAAGTTTTTTTGCACATTTACACTTATGCTGTTTGCATATTTCAGGCTCAGCCAGCTTTCACTAACAGTGCAAATGTCCTCCTTTGGTGTTGAAGTCTGATTTTCAGCGATCTGGTTCTGCTTGTCCTCAGCTGCTAGAACACTACCACCAGTTGCTGTATTTGATTTTGGTTTACCATAGTACACAGAACACTTGTGTTTCTTCTGTGAGTGACTGTATGTTGCTGGGCTCCTTTTGGCAGCGTTCTGGCTACGGCTGCTTGCCGTGCTTACAGAGAGAGACCCTTTTCCTTTTCCTTTATCGGAAGAACTGTAAGTTTCTGTAAAGGTTTTGCAGCTGCTCCTGGATTTGAAATGCAGGCATGTTATTTATTCTGCAAAGGTTACATTCTTCATAAATTATCATTTAAAATATATAAACAAAGGAGTTGGAGAAGATTAATAATATTGGACAATATATCATTTTCCTAGAAACAAACCTGATACCATTTTGGTCATGGTTTATCACAAGTATCTCTCATTGTATGCCTATTATTTGTTTTAGCCAGTACTTGTAAATTGGCTACAAACAAAAAAGTACCCCTTTCTTCCTGTCACTCTGAATCTATGTCATGCATGAAATAAAACTTGTGCATTTCCTACCTCCCCTGCCATGAACAGATTCAAACTCCCAGTGTAGAGAATGTTGCATGATGTGCAATGAGCTTGTTTTTATTATCATGTGCACAGAAGACTTCAACTAGGTATCTAAATATTAAGAGCAGCCATCCCTCTTGCAGTATTACAATTAGCGGCCACTACGTATCCTTTTTCAAAATGTTTTTCACCACCAAGACCAACCCAATACTTATAAAAAATCCCTTCAAGAGGCTTACATAGAAAGTTAAGATTTCTTACTTGTAAGTTTCTGAGCTGATGATGTCCACTGAGTTATTATTTTGCAATGGAGAAGAACTGGTATTCGGCCTCTGCCTTGACTTCATGAATTCGGTAAGAATGTATTGTGCTTGTTGGAAAGCTATGAGAATTACACCAAACAGAGACAAACTGCAAGAGAGAGGAATGCTTATGTCAAGACAAGCTGTTACATGGAAGGAATAAAGCACATTTAAGATGTTGGAAGAATAAAGAACATCCACGCAAATGTGTGATTGCAACCATTGTTACTGTCAGCACTTGTACAGGAAGGGCTCATCACATCCATAAAGCTAGATTCCTTAATAGCCATAAGGGAGCTTACTGCACTAGCACTGGCTCCCACCTTGGCCCCAGCTTCCACTGTCTGCATCTTATTCCCGCTCTTTAGTCCATCTGTATTACCAGACTGAGTACCTACAGAGGAGTGTTTCAAGAGCTTCTCCCTCTGACAGTTGCTTTGAGGGCAGCTATTTATACATAGAATAAAAACTCTGAAAATACTTGCCGCAACTTCCAAAAAGTAAAAAGATGCCATTTCTTCATTCTGCCTGTCAGTACCAACATAAACAATACTGTCCTCACCAATATCATTAGGCAAAACATATCATTAGGCAAAACAGCAATTAAAATTAATTTGAAAAGTGATTCTAGTTTGCCTAAGTAATTGAGTTGGTAAGGTTTTTAGTTCATACCAGGTTGCAATGGTTTTGAGAATTAAATGATTTACCTGACAAAGAGCACAGTAAGCCTCCAGAAAGACTCTTCCCAGCTGGGTCCTGGCACCACTTCTGCACACAGGGGTAAAAGATGGTGAGGAAGGGTCACATTGAGGGTGAAATGGAACTCAACACCAGCAGCAGTCACCAGAGTTAGTTCTCGAATAATCCAAGAAGAAGTAAAATCTGGAGTAAACCTGCATCAGAAGAAAATAAAAAAACCATGAAGTGGCAGCATTTTTAATGGCTGAAGCTTTCACTATAAAGGTTCAGATCCCACAGAACCCTGTTTTTTTCTTTAGAGATCAAGAAAACTTCTCCCTGCCACCACCTTCCTGTAACTTGCATATAGTCCTTCTAACATTTAGAAGCATCTATCCATTCAGAAAACATTACTCATGGTCACAGCCCTCCAACTGTACACTTACCAACTGCACAAAGTATCTTCTTCTGTCTACTACTAATGGAAGGATATGAACAGAAGTCCTAAAAGTTGTTGAAACATCTATATCAAGGAGATCAACTGGTTACTGAATTTTCTTTTGTGGCTTCAGGCAGTTTCAGTGTGGCTTACAGGTAGTTATTGCACTATTACTGCCTCTCCATCTCAGCTAATTTCATGTCATACAAGGAGTTTCAGTGTACTTTCTATAGACCTCTTCCTCAACTACCACTCCTTCTAGGCTCCCTGTAATTCAAAGCCAAAGCATGCCAGGGCGGTGCAGCTCTCCTACCAAGAAATCTTGTTCCTAGACTGTTCAGCTACAAACAGCTCTTGATGGCGAGAGACTGAATAATGTAAAAATCATCAGTGCAAGTGAAGGAGTAGCAAAGTTTACCTCCTCAGGCAAGGAAATGGAAAAACTGGCAGGAGACTTAAGTGAGAGCTGGGAGAAAGATGAAAGGTAAGGCTGTCAATCAGTGTTTGTAGGTTAAATGCGGGGAATCCCATGTTGCCTTTGTTGAAAGATGATCTATTTAACCTTGCATGCATTATATTACTATTTCTATTTTAGATTTTATTCTCTCTCATGTTTAGCTTTAGGCTGCTGTATTAGCTCAGTTTATTTAGTGTTACAGAACATTGTACATGTTGGTATTATTAGGTACTTACTATGTTTTAGTGCTTCATCGCCTTAAGTATTATGTACTTAAATACTGCAGTTATTTGTCATTTTTTTAGAGTGGCAGGATCTGATTGTTCTCAGTATCGTGCATCTTTTCTACTGTTTTCCAAGACCATGAGTGCTCAGGAATGTGGGGAAGTTATGGGGCACCATCTCCTTTTACAGAAGTGCAGGGCTTTGAACACAGCCAAAGATCATGCTTTCTTTTAAAATATGGTTTCCAACAGAGCTCATCAGGGTCTTTTCAACAGCAGCATGTGTGTGTGCCCATCCCTGTTTAAAAATAATCTAATTAGCTCTGTCAAGATACCCATCTTAAAAGGCAGCATGAGTTTTGACAGCTTGGTGTCAGTAGCAGGCGATTTTGTTGAGCTTGCAGCTTGCTTCCTGCTTCCTCGTGCTTACAATGAGGTCTGTTATCTGGACTCAGATGACACAACAAGCCACCATGGGTAAAACAAGCCATTTTTAGAAACAAATATAGAAAGAATTTATAGAAATGTGAACTTAAATATGTCAACAATCTTCATCAGAAAAAAGGGTGTGTGTAGTAGCTTAATAAGAAGAGACAAACATTTCAAGGAAGAATGTCCTGCCTAGTAAGAATCAAACTATTCTAAAATAAGCTAATTATCTCCAGTTAATAAAAAAAGTCGAATGCTTACACAATGCTAATCTCCCGAGAAGAGTTCTGTGCCAGGAAGAAGTCTTGGCAATTGAGTACTTCAAACCCATATCCCTGGCAATTATATCCATTAATCTTCATGGACGTTACAGTGATAGGAAGATGGCCAACATTTTCCACTTTAAAGTTCTTTGTGATGGATAAAATTTGCCTGCCATCTTTCAGTTCTGGGGAAAAAAAACAAAAGCAAAGTTGACATTTCATTATTTTCATAGCAGACGTGAAAAGCCATCTTGAGATACTGCTGTACAATGAAGGAAAAGGCACGTTGCTTACTTGTGTCATTCTACATGCGGTTGTCTGTGCATTCACATGTATGGGCTCTGATCCTGTAGGAAGATTCTACAGCTCAGAGTGCTTTGGTGGGAACCTCTACCTGCTGTCAGTGTATCTGGGAAGGGTTCCCACCCATTTCTTCCGTTCACAGGAAACCGCCACTGTGGTCTTCGGGTCAAGGATCAGTTTGGCCAGCCTTGATCTTGATCAAAGCTGGTCTCTGAATGGATTATATACTTAGTGGGAGAATTATTCAGCACAAAGAAGAGACCTGCTGGCATTCCTGAGTATTTGTGGACTTGATGTAGGCTGATTTCCTAGGTTTGGACCAAGCCTGGGGAAAAACACCCAGCAAGTGCAAAAGAACTGGATTTCAAGCAGATCTTTGCATCACTTTCACTAGTGTACACCACCAATGTCACAATGGCCAGTATATATCTCTTCCAATACTCATGGAAGGAACAATGGTGGTTTGAAAACAGACATGCCTGTGATATTTGCAGATGGCTGTACATATTCTGTTTACAAATGAGTGTGCACCTTGTTTCCTACATCCATACACACTTCATCCTACACCTTCCTGCCAAGCAGGTTGTCACTCACGTCGCCTGCAGTCCATGAGGGTTGACTCTGGCACCTTAAATCGAAGGGATCCTCCTGCCCCTGGCAACCGTCCCCCTACTTTTAAGAGTTCTCTGGCTCCGATGCCTTCAACATAAACCGCATCCAGAACAGTCAGGTTATTCCTGCAACAAAGCAAGGGAGCTTTAACAACTGCATTTAAGGGAAGGGAATGGAAAGGACAGGAAGTTTGCAACCATTTCACTCAACAGCACAAAACATGGGCACTAGAAAACTAATTCATCCTTATGTACTGCTGAAACCAAATGAAATTCCTGCAGATAAAAGTCATTTCAGTCTTTTGTGTACATCAAATTAAAACTTTATGGAAGTTTGTAAGACCAGCTGTTGGATCAGTTGCAGCAACCAGAAGCAACTGATGAGGAAATGGAAGGCAAAGGCCTGTCTTCATCAGTACCCACCTAATGGACTGTCAGGAAGTCCTGGCATCACTTCACCTGTCAGTACCCAGACTAAGGGAATTATAGACACAGACAAACAGTGAAATTAACATTTCCCTACATTTTCTCTAGTAGCATGACACCTAGCCTAGGTATGGTCTGTTCTACATTCTAAGAACTGCACATCTATACAAAAAATTATTACACATTACCTTTCCTGCTTACTTCTGACCTTAATAACAAGTCGTTTTGTGCATAGGGCTGAACCTATTTGGGTCTCTATTTAAGGTGCCCCTGTACCACTTGACATGCCAGAACTTCCAAGTGGTATATATAAAAACAAAAATAGTATTATATAAAAACAAGTAAAAAGCAGTACAAAGCAATTAGAGCAATTTCATGACTGAGAGTGAAGGAAAGCCTGAATGAACAAATGAATTTTTGAGAGGTGTTTGACTGTGACCACAGTTTTTGATCTCGGATATGAGGCTCTGTCCTCCGCTGTGGTCCCAACCCCACACACCTGCAACTGGAACTCTCAAAAATAACTTCCTCATTTCAATAGATTCTTTTTATTGGACAATGCAAATTACAGGACTGGGCCTCCCAGAGCTGCTGCATGGGAACAAAAAATTAAAGCTCCTCTAGCCCCAACACTGGAGTCCAATCTGTACCGGCAGCCCTGTAAAAGCAAAGAAATTCTGCACTGCAGTCTGTACTGCACAGGAAAGATAATGTGTAGTTTGGCCGCCAGTATCTAGTTATACCTAATTTTATATGATCCTCAAGTGGTCCCTTTTCCAGCTTTAGGATAATAAGGAGGTCAAGAAGGAAAGACAATAAAGAAACATTAGAGTTGCAAAAAGAGTAACTTCAGTTAAGCTAAAATTAAACCCCAAAGCCAAATCCTTTAGCATACTGAAGCATGTAAATGATGAGTACATTGTTGTAACAGCACTAAGAAATCCCCTGCTGAATAGTGAAAATATATGAAGTACTAAATGTTCTGAGACTTGTGTTATATCAGAGAAGTTCACAACTGCAGGATATTAAGAGCAGATTGCAACTAAGCTGAACAGACTAACATAAATATTTTAATATATTTAGAAAGAGCTGCCTCTCCAGTCTCCCTCATGATGTTTCCCATAACTTAAAACTTTTCTATCCATATACTTGGGTCCAAGCAGGAGAAATAACAAGGGAAAGTTCTTCCAAATTCTGCTTCAAAATTCAATCTACCTCATTCCTGTTCCTAATTATGACCTTCTTCATGCAGTATCTTTGGGGAAAGCAAGAATCCAAGAGTTCATTTTTTAAAATGTGTACACTTTCCTCTAATGACTAGAGCATTAAAGAAAATTTTCCTTTCCAAAGTGCACATTTTTCAGAAGCGTGTTTGACACATTTTACAAATGAGCATCACAAGCTCAACAATGGTTTAGCTTCAGCTACAAAATGCTTGTTCACATTGCCAAACATGAACCCAGGTTCTGGCCTGAAACACACAGAAGCAAAATTTTATGCACATGTATGTTTTTAAAAAGCAGCTTTCTTATTCAACATTACTTATTTGCAGTGACACACTGAGCAAAATTCTTCTCTAACAACCTTTTTTGAAAAAAAAAACAAACAAACCATGAGGTATAATACACATTATGGGGAAAGTTTCAGAAGTAAACCTGATTGAATTCAGTGGAAATATGAAATAATTTTTCAAATGTTATCCCTCCACAGAACATCAAGGATAGACCTACCTGATGAGTATAAGGGAAGCTACCCTTTTGTAATCAAGAGGTGTAAAGACAACACCAACTCGCTTAGCTTCTAAAGGCTGCAATTTTAAATGAAGCACCTCAGAACTAGATCCTATGTAATCATGATCCTCGTGTAGTTCATTCTATGAAAGAACAAAAAAGAAACATCTAATTGAAAACTTTACTGCAATATCCATCTCTGAGTGTTATAACATCACCTAACCATGCTGGTATGTTGCATGTTAAGCCACAGTGAAAACAGCTTTGAGGCTGCAGACAGAGCTTGGACTTTGGAAGCATTATCCCGACAAGGAAGCTTTCCTTTTGGCTCCAGCCAGACACTGTGGAGGTTTCCATGGTAGTTCCCTCTCTGAGGTCAGAGCTTTGACTCTGTACAGTGGGGAGGATGGGACACAGCCATTTAGAAAACATGCTGGTGGTCAAGGAGAGACCAACTGGGGATCTAAGCCCTTCCAGTTCCCAACCATGCCACTGTCATTGTTTTGCCAGCAATGGCAAGGTCTTTTTTTTCCCTGTGCACAGACAGAAAAAAAACCACGTGTATGCCTTGCCTTACTTTTGACTTTCATCCGCAGGAGCCAGCAGGGCACAGGAAAGGAATGGAATGTGCCAGTCTTGGAGCACCGTCAAAAGCATTGTGTTATTCTAGAACAGCACAATGCTAAGTGCTATGAATATAACAATATTATCAGTATTTCCTCCTTAATTATCAGGCTCCATTGTCATACTGATACAGACAGGGGTTTAGGTAATGCTGTCAAGTGCAGCAATCTCTGTTTGAAGACGCAGAACTAGAGATTTCAGACAGGTGAACTTCCCCTGACCCACCACCCCACACTCTATGTGTTGTATGCAAGCTAAGCTAGTTAGTTTGTTTATTTATTTATTTATTTATTAAAACATTTTTATGCCACCCCATTCGCCGAAGCCTCGGGGCGGCTCACATCACTAAGTTAAAATAATTATAATATAAATTAAAAATATAAATATTAAATTAAAAATACAACAATACAGTATAAAATAAGCCACCCTGGCCAGATAAAATCCAATAATATTAACGACCCACGTTCATGGGTCGGGCCGATGACATGTTGAGACAGCCCCATGGCCGCCATGGAGACCATGAAGTCCTGAGCCGCCCCGGTCAGATCAGTCTCGGCATGGAGATTGAAGTCCCCCAGGACCAACATCCTGGGGGTCCTCAACACCAGGTCCGAGACAGTCTCCGTCAGCTCAGGCAGGGAGACTGTTGGGCAGAAGGGTGCACGGTACACCAACAGTTGTACTTTGTTCCCACTAAAATCAATGAGATTTAACTCTTCTCTAATGGTCCTATTGATTTTGACTAAATTAGCCTAGATAGCTGTCCTTTGTTCTGGTCATTTTCCTGCAGTTAACTAGCACCTTCTGGTTCTGAGCGCACCTCACCATTTGGCACAGCCCATACATAGGGCAGATTTTTCTGCAACCTAAGCAACATTATTACATCCTTGTTTCATAATGAAGAACATACAACTTTGGTAATATGTGTTTTTTGTTTGTTTTTAAACTTAAAAAATAAGTAGTATGTGTTAGGGGATTACTTTTACATGTATTTTCATAGCAACAGCAGTTTTGGACAGCTGGATGCCTTTCCTCTAGGTAAAAGCAACTGGTTCTATTTTAGTACAAATCTCCAGGCTTACTGAGAAATATATTCGGGGTGAAGATACTCAAATGAGGGAGTGGAGAATCTAAAAACTTGGACTAAAACCAAGATCATTTGGCTTCAGACACTAATCTAGTGCCCAGATCAGTGCATTCTAGGAAAGGTTACAGTAACCATGGGAACCAGAGAACACTGGCAGTACATTGCTACAATCTTAGGATAAGCCTATATCATGCAAGAAAAGAAGATCTGCTAGCAGTAAGAAAAACAAAGCAATTTGGAACAGCAAACAAATGGACATTTAAATCCAATTTGTGTTAAAGTATGATAGTGCATCTGAAGGACTGAGTGAGGTTGAGCCTCAATGGGAAAATGATGATGGTGGTGATGGTGATCATGATGACAGAGGAACACGGTATGCAGCTACACATGCTCATAATACATTCTTTTCCCACTTGCCCCATTCCTCTGATGAGGTAACATCAGAGAAGGGGAAAAGGAGAGACAATCAATTGTAGTTCTAGTGATACGCAGTGTGCAGGGACACTGAATGCAAAGCTACATGCTGCAGGTGCAGGAGCATAAAGACCCATCCAACCCAATCCATGCATCCTTCATCTTCTAGTGTTTTCACTCAGGTAAGCTGGGGCTGGAGAGCAAAATATAAAACTTTGAAGTGCCAGGTGTGAAGATTGCAAAAAAAAAAAAAAAAAAAAAACTTGCAAAAAATTCCAGTAGTTTTAGAATTCCAAAGGTCTTCCATTTGATCTTTATGCAATTCAAAAACTGAATACAAGTTTTTAGACAAAAATCATCAAATCAATTCATGTTCAAATATATTTCTGTATAAATATTCTCTGGGGAAAAGGTTAGATTAAAACCAATATAACCACATGTTCTATTCTCAGAGAAGAAAACATGGCTTACTCCAGAAGCATATTCTTCTGTCAGTCTGAATTCAGTGGTTGTAAGATTAATCGACTGTACATTCATGCCAAACCTATATAAACAAGATAAAATATACATGAATAAACCTGTATGTATGTGTAAATATCAGAGTATTTTGCATTACAGTGAGAGACAACTTTGCAAACATACTTATTTTATGGTTCTAGCTAATTTCAATGATCCACTGCAGAAGGAAATTTGTGTCATATATTTCCTACACAAGCATTCTAGTAATTCAAGAATAAATCATAAGTCAAATTGGAGATGTTGAGAGTAAAACAGGTTGGATTTAATTTTTTTTTTTTTTTGCATCAAAAATGGAAAGAAATACAACAGCTCTTTTCACATTCCTTCCATGTGATGACTAAATAAGGAGGACACAGCAGGCTTTAAACTCACTGTTAATCTCTGCATGTTCAGCAGAACCTACTGCAAATGGAATCTGCCATGGAATATATGTAAATATATGTAAATAAAAACTGGAAATTGTACACAATCAGGATTTCTCATAACATGGAAGACCTTACATACACACAGCTAAATAGATATGCCTCTATTCAGTGAACATGTGGGCAGATCCCCTAAAAAGCACTGGCTACCGATTATACTGGAAAAGTTGCATTCATAAATAGCTATACTTATTACCATTTGCTGAATAGACTCAGTGGAGCTCGAGGATCAGGATAAAAAGACAGAGGCAGAAGTTGCAACATAACCAGAAAGGATGTCGGGTTTCTTAGTGTAAAATATTTCACCTAAATAGTTAAAACACAGCTTTAATACTTCTTGTTTAATATGTCATTTCTGATTTTAATGTTTAATATGTAACTGCTGTACATTTAACAAATGCACGGAAATATTGCTGAATTCAATGCATGATAAAATTTGTGAAACTGCTACATATACATCCTTTTCTTTTGTATTCAAAAGAAAAAAATCTTGTGAGATTTTATATTTTTAAAATCTTACAGATATAAGCTAAACATTTTTCTGCAAGCAAATGTGGAATATGTGACATGGTATTTAAAAACAAATAACATATACTATACGAAGTTTCACATATATATAACTATTCAACTTAAGACACATCAAATTTAGAAAATCACAGTGATTTCTCTGTTTTGGTCTTGTTCAGTTGCACTTAGAGAAGAATACACAATAAAAGCACAATCATATCCATGTTGAGACAGAAAAATGTCCTAGAATACCCACTATGCACCAGCCAGTCATGCTGGGTGAGAGATGTCAGGAGACATAGGGGGTTTTTTCCTGTCTAAATATGCATAGAATTACACCCTGGATGCTGTCTAGACAGCCACAGGAAAAGACAGCATTCCTGCTGCAACCTTGAATAAGTCTTGAAAAGATTCCAGTGGGGACTCTGCCTCTGGATGAACCCCACTCCATCCTCTCAGCTGGTGCAGCTTTTTCTGCATCGATTCAGGATCCAAAGACAGAAATCGTCTTTGTGTTAGGGGCAGGGGAACAATCAAGGGGAAGGGATGATAGAACACAGAAACAGAGCAAGTCAGAAGGGGTCTTCTGGGCCATCTAGTCTGACCGCCCAGGTCCAGCTGGCTCCACCATGTGCATGTCCAGCCTATCCTTAAACACCCTCACCGATGGGGCTTCAACCACCTCCCATACGCTAGTGGTCCTAACCATATGTGCTGCTAGTTTCCACCAAAACCAGGCAATGCCTCAGCCCCTCCTTCCCTGAGGAGGGGGGCATTTAGAAGGCGAGAATCAGCTGTGTAAAAGTTTTTGAGTGTGAGGGGAGCATAGAGACAACCCTTCCTTTCTGCTCCTACAACACTCAACAGGGTGTGCTTGCAACCTTCCAAATTTGGAAGATTATGGGTAACTATATCAGACTGCACCCTTAGTTTATTAAGTGAGCAAATATAAGATCACTAAGGAATTTTAACCAAAAATAGTCTTGCAACAAAATTTCCAGTCAAAATATGGCCTCACCATGCTATTTGTTGGTGCAGCTGCACTGAAGTTCAATGTAAGACCAAGTTCTGTAACCAAGTGTGGGAAAGATAATGCAAATGACTCCTCCTCGGGATTCTTTGGATGAGCAACTTGAATAATTTCCCCAAGATTTCTCCTGTTAGCAATAACAGAAATAGTTTTAAAATAAGGGTTTGCATGTTTTAATGTTTGATGATAATCTTCTAGGAAAAACAAGTTCAAGAGCCTTATAATTATATGCTTGTGTCTGGAATAAAATTTTATCTTTGTTTTATATTATTTGTTCTTTATCTTTGTTCTTAGATTATTGTAATTTCCTACTAAAAACTAGACAACCCTATAAGAAACCAGAAAAAACATTTCAACATTTTACTACTACTTAGCAATGCTAAAAACTGGCATGTACTGTCAGCAACAGCTGATGCAACTTTAATGCCTCAGATCCTTTCACTGCAATTAAACCAAGTCTTCCCATATCCAGTGCAAATCCCTCACAGTTGTTTTTATCTATCGTTCAAGCATATGTTGCCACCAGCTTTAAACATGGCAATTGCAAATCAGGGCTCATTACTTCCCAAGAGCAGCTGGTTAATAGCAACCATGGGTCCTGATCAGAATATCAAGACCAACGGCAAATCCTGACACTCCAACACACCAGGCAGGCTCACCACCAATACTTGCCATGGAGCTCCCATTTTTAAAATGTTGCTACCATCACAGACAGCAGCACAAGGAAAGCTCATGTCCTGGCTGTGTCTTCCAGACTCCATATTGGTTTCCTCCAGCTGGGTGACTGCTCAAAACACAACAGCGTGACTGGAAACCAGAGAAATAAGAGCTCTGGTTCTTCTTCTGGCTGCTTTCTGTACCAGTTGTGATACTGAACACTTGCAGAAAAGGAAAAATAGTGAAAGGATGCCATCCAGAGCTTACCAACAGTTCTGATGCCTGTTTCTACCACCATCGTTAAGGAAGCAGAAGCATTTACATCCTTACTTTCCTTAACGCAGGACATGACAAATAGTTACCTATTACTAAGAAGACCCCTTCTACAGCAAACACTGATCTCTGTTGTGAACATTCTTTATACACACCTGCAAATTTCATTGTGTTTAATTTTTTGCCACTTTTCATGCAGTTCATATGCAAGATCTGAATCCACACTCCATGTAGAACTGTCCAGAGATAGGCTCCTTTCCCAAAGAAGGTTTACTAAAATGATAAGTAATACCCATTTGATTGATAAATAATTATAAATCATGTTTCTTTCCATTTATGACCTTTACTCTGGTGCTACTAAGTACCTTCAAGACATCAGAATTAAGTCGGTACCACGAAATACACTTAAAAACATAAGATCAGCTGTCTGTATGAATAGATCTTATTTGTGCATAAAAACACATTTTTCTAAGGCTGTTAAAATATGCCCTTGCTGTTCTCTCCCCCCAATAGCCAAACCATTTTCTAGCTCTTGCAAAGCTAACACCCCTGCCCCATTTGCAAACTTCTATCACCTCATTCTCCTATAAAAAATAAATTATCCAAGACCCATCACTCTGCATTACAAAATTATTTTTATGCATGGCATGCATAAAGCATTATAAAATGCATACAAATTCAGCTGTATTCAGGAAAACGCTAAGACTAATGTTTGCACATTTACTAGACCTTACATTTTCTCCATTAGGGTCATAACGGAGACACCTACTTCTTCCCTACATTTACCTTTGTCTGACATTCTTAAGGAGCAACACACATCATGATGAGCTATGGCTTCGAAATGTACATCTCCCTGCTGAAAAACATTAATTGAGAAATTGTTAAGCTCACATTATACAAAAAAAATCTAAACAAAGACCAGCACATTCAGTTCACCGTTGTTCCCCTCTGCCATAATTCTATTTTTTATACAAGTCAGAGAGAGTGTATTATGTGATGCAGTAGTTAAGAATGCAGGACTGGGGCTCAAGAGAGCTGGGTTCTAGTCCCCACTTAGTCCTGAGACTAACTGGGTGACTTTGGTCAGTCACTGGATTGTTGTGAGGATAAGACTGAGAGGAGAAGAAGAATTATGTAAGTCGCCTTGAGTTCCTTGAAAGGAAAAAAGGTGGGATATAAAACTAATTAATAAAGCAATGAAAGAAGCAATTGCATGTTTGACTGTTTCTTCTAAGTTGCACTATTTCCACTACAGAAAGATGTATTTGGGTTGCAGATTCTTGTGTATTGTTGCTTTCACTTGTCACCATTTGCAGTAATGGACAAAGTGATCCAGAAGTTTAATCTACTCCAATTGAACAACAGTGCAAAAGAATCAGAAGAAAGCTTCATTGTTTGAATAAGTCTACATGAATACTTTGCTAAATTGGGAATAATTTTCTCTTTAATTTTAAATCTTCTGAAATATTTAATTTAGGAGATAACATCATTCCAGAAAATCATGAATATCTATAACTGATATATCTGAAAGTACCTGGGATAAAACTGAATAAATCTGTAGTGGTATCTCAAATATCATCCCAACATTTGTGGCCACAAAAACATTGGCAAATAAATTGGTTACTGATTCCTGCATATGGAGCTTCAAGGAAAAGACATTCCAACAGCCTGGAGGCAGAGTCAATGGATCTGAGAAGTTCATAACCTAATGCAAAAATGTCAAATCAAAATGACATCATGTGAAGTTCACTTATGTGCAAATAGTACTTTTCTTTACACTTCCAGTGCTACAGAGACAAATTAAACTGGTTTTAAAAGTTCTCACTGCATCATCCCACCTTTTTCTTATGTGTAGACCGTCCCTCTCCTATTGGCAGTTCCTCCCGCTTGCAGATAACTGTTTTCAACAGCATTAAAGGGCTTGCTCAGGTCTTAATACAAAATTGCATCTTTTTATTTGTGTACAATGAAGGCTGTGTATGTTTTTCAATTCAGTTACATAGTACCTGTATAGCAGGTGCAAAATTTAGCTTCCTGGCAGTAGTCTCAGATGAACATGAAAACAAGATCTGAAAATCTATAAGCAAGGCCCAGCAACTAAAACAAGAGACCAGTCTTATTGGGTTGCCTCTGAACTTAAGAGGCTTATAGGAATCCAGAACGGGAGAAGTGGAATTGATCTTTGCCAACACATCATTGTGCCCCACATTTTCATTAGTCAGGTTTTTTGCCCAGCTAGCTGGAGTGCTGCAGAGAGGGAGAGAAGACAGCTGAGTGGCTGCAGGAGGCATTGTAGCCTGACCACTCCAGTGTCTTCCCCTCAAATGCCCCCTTTAATCCCTCTCTGAGATTGTTTCTCCAGCCCCTGAGATAAGCCAAAATGATTCTTCTCCCACCAGCTGTGAGGAGGCAGATGGGGCAGGAGGTGGAGCTCTAATTCTCTCCAATTGTTTCTGATCTTGGAGCTGGGAATCCAAACAAACTAAGCAGTCTTTTCATTGGTCAGTATTGAGCTTTGATACCCTAAACCAGTGGTGGTGAACCTATGGCACGCATGCCACAGCGGGCACACAGAGCCCTCTCTGTCGGCACACAAGCCAAGTCGCCCCAGCATCACCCCAGCAGCCGAGCATTGGGTAACAGTGCACCTTTCAACTGGCCCCCTGGTGAAAAAGTTGAGGACCCCTGATATTGATGGTTGGAATGTGTTTAGAATGGGCAGAAAAGATGAGCTGTGCAGAAAGAGCTACTCAAGGAAGGCTTGTTCAAAATTGCCCTCTTTTCCATGGAACTTTAGCCATATATTAAGGCTAGGGATGTGCACCAGGGCAGGGTTGGGGTTAGAAAAATGAGGTATCCTTTCTTGATTTTGATGGTTGGAATGTGCTTAGAATGGGCAGAAATGATGAGCTGTGCAGAAAAAGCTACTTAAGGAAGGCTTTTTCAAAATTGCCCCTTTCAACGGTATTTTACCCCTCTATTAGGTTGAAATTTTTTATTTAAATAAAAACATACTACAAAGTATTTTACCCCTCTATTAGGGTTAGGGGAATGCACCAGGATAGCGTTAGGCCAGTGGTGGCGAACCTATGCACATGTGCCACAGTGGGCACACAGAGCCCTCTCTGTTGGCATGCATGCCAAGTCACCCCAGCAGCCAAGCATCAGATAACAGCATGCACTGGGGGCAAGCACATGCTCAGAAAGGAGTAGCGGTGCCAGGCAATGATGTCATGTGCCGCGACTCATTAGCCGCGACTTGTCCGAGCTTTCGCATGGCTGGTCAGTGCGCTGCCAAGGATATACATATATTTGCTTGGACTGGCTGTGAGTTCTTTTTTCTAAACTAAAACCTGTTTTCAGGTTTTATTTTGGTGTTGGCACTTTGCAATAAATAAGTGGGTTCTGGGTTGCAGTTTGGGCACTCTGTTTCTAAAAGGTTCGCCATCACTGCCCTACTAGCATCAAACAAAATAAACTATGGAGAATAAGAAGACATGCATAAATGTTCACAGAACTTCACTTTTCTTGGTGCTGATTTCATGGTATGTTCATGGACCTGGCAAGTCTATAAGCAAAGATTTTTAAAGGATACTTTTTTTGTGCTTTTTTTAAAAGCTATTTTGGGAGATCTACACAGTATCCTTATTACTTCACTGAACAGTGGGGCCGAAAATGAAAAACTTACCTTTAGAATGTCCTTCATTTCTCTTGAAACATAGACATCATTTAGCACAATGCTAAAATCAAAATTGTTTGTAAACCATAGAGACCAAGATGCTGAAATACTGTGATGTGGTTCTACATGGAATACTGTTGCCAAGGGATCGATGCCAAAGTACCTACAGAGAGAGAATGGAGCACTGAACACCACAGACACTCTTTCGGGTTTTGCATGACAGAGGAATCAAACATGGGTCAACTTTCCTACTGCTCAGGGAAGGCAGGATTAGTGACTGAAATTTTATCACAAGACTTCTCACCTGTTACTTCCAGAGGGTATATGTGGGATGAAGTGTAACCTGAACATAAGCTAGTAGAAATGATGAAATGATGCATGTTTTCTATTCGCACTTTTGGATAGTGGTTTTACAGGGTCCTTTAGGTTGAAGCCCTAAAGATGACATGGCCCTCAGAAAAGCAAAGCAAGAAATCCTCTTTATTAAACTGTCTGGAGCTTTAATAAGCTAGGATCTACACAGTCTCCTTCGTCCTTGTTCAATGGATCAAGGTGATGGTGGAGAAAAGGGCCCGTGGAAAGGGGCTGGGACTGATCCATTGTCCTCCTCATGGGCTAGGAAGAAAAGTTCTATGATGAGTTGGCAACCAACCTGATGAAGGTTGATTAAGTGGAACTGATTCTGCACTGGAGCTTTTTTGCCTTTAGGAGGGGAGGGAGAAGCACCTGTGAAGGTTTCTCTTGCCTGTTTCACATCTAAGAGTAGCTATGTATATTAGCTGGAACAATCAACCAGTCATATCACCACTTATAGCATGTTTAATATTTTGCAGAAACTGGTCCTGAGGAACATATTACAAAAAAATCCCAAGTTTCAGCCTCATGGGAGGAAAGTAAGCTTGAGTGCTTAGAATTCTGATCTCCAGAGCATTGGGGAGAATTGTCCAACTAATCTCTGCCCATTTTTGGCATTTCTTGGGAGCCAGAGCTGCTTGCTTTTGCCTGCACTGCCATCTGATGGCCAAGGACAGAAGTTCACTGAATTTCATCTGTAGATGGCACTGCAAAACTAAGGCAGCAGGGTAGGAAATGTTCAAGAGATTCTTGCTATGCAGTCTTCCAGCAGCAGCTTTAGAAGGAGTGCAGCACTAGAAGTGTGGCACAAAATCCTTCCTTTGGAGTCCCAAATCTCCAGGATGCCATTTGCTCCACCACCCTGCTGCCACCCACTTGATTTTTTCTGTCTGTGGGTTTTTTCCGAAATCAAACGCCCTCCTCTCCCCTCTTCATACATCCCCTTTTACAAATAGTCATGTCCTTAGGAGATGGGACCTTTACAGACTTCAGAGCATGTGAAAATTAGCACATTCAACCTTGTGCATGTTTGTCCTGTGGGCCTGAGCCCCAGATATTTTGGTATCTAGCAACAGCCCTGTTATGCTCCTGACCACTTCCCTGGTATTAGTCTCCTCTCTCAGCCCCCTTATGCGGCTTTTTGCAGTTTTGCTTCTGGATCATCCCAAAGGTGGCAGCAGCTGGCATGTGTGAGCATCAACCAACTCAAGTGGAAGATCTCCAAGTGACTGCTGTATACATTCAAGTAACTGAGGTGCTTGGAACAATCCTTGCAGCAGCTGTGGCAAACTGTTTTGTGCCTTTCGGCATCTGAACATGTGGTGTCTTTTTTCTATAGGGCTTGAAAAAATGCATTTTCTCACAGGAGCAATGGCTTGAGAAAAAGCAAAAAGCAACACAAAGAGAAAAGGAAGAAGGGTTGTTTTCCAAAAATGGGGAGGGGAAAAGAGAAAATTTGGAACAATTGAAGAGAAGAATCACACAGAGTAGGGAAGGTAAAGCTGGAAGAAAAAGCTCAAGAAACTTCTCAGAGAGAACATAATACAGGTGTTGAAATAGAAGAAACAGCTGGAAGAAGCAAAGACTGGGAAAGAACTGGAAAGGAACCTTGCAACAGCAAGTCTAATCAAGCTATCAGAAACTGGAAGTTTTAGGATAACCAGTGAGAAAACAGGACTTCCGGAGGGCAGTTTTAGGAAAAAAGTTTGGGAAAAAGCCCTTTAATGCATGATAGGAGTAAATCCACTACAGTTGCCCTATGCACACCAATACAAGAAAGATGACAAATATACTCAGATGCAAGTATCAGTGCCTCTAACATTTGTTTTACTTTTTTAAGAATTAAACCCTGGTTTATAGCCTAAGATCTTAAAGATATTACTGTTTTGATTTTTTTATATTATGTTATAAAAAGTAATGTTACACCTCATGTGCACTGGAAATGTATGGGACAGATCACAAAGGGACACTTAAAACACAAACACACACACATTTGACGACTAACTAATTTGTGAGAGCTGTTTCCATTAAAATGTACCCTGTTGTTAATGAATATAAAAATTTATCTTGGTGGTGGTGATTTGAAATGGCCCTTCCACAAATCCAAGCCATCCAATAATGTACTCATGAAATAAAGAAGATGCACCCAAAAACAGGATTCTAGAACTTAATTCTATTTATTCACTTAGGGCATTTTAATCTGCTCAGTAACTAATAATAATCTTTGCAAAAGTTAAAGAGCTATGATGCCATAAAACAGTTAAAAATATTAAATACATCAAGGACACCATCCTTTGGCAGACAGATGCAGTCTGGATGGCCATAGGAAAAGAGATTGCAAGCTGGAGAAGCCCTTTGAGATGGCAGTGAGAAATCCAACTTTGAGGTCCCTCTCTCTGCCCTTGCACCCAACATGGACGCAGCTCCGACAACAGGAAGTCATCTTTACCACAGGTGCTTTGTGTGTGCGGGGTGGATGTTCCACAAGGAAGAAGGAAAGGAGTGAGGCACCCGCATTCCACAAGGAATACAAACAGTGCCTCCTCATCTTCTCCTCATGAGAATGGGGCGGGGGGGTAATTAGACGGCAGAGACTGACTGTTTTAGAAAACAGCAGAAGCATAGAGGCAATCCAGCCCTCTACTGGAGGTCTGCAACCTTTCCAGTTCAGAGGGTTATAGCCAAACACATCAACATATTTAAAAGAATTAAATACAGCATAATGCAAAACAATAATGGAGAAAACAGCCATTAAAACTTAAGACTGAGTTCTTTCTTCCAAACTTTCTACTTTTTCTCTCCTTTCTCCTAAATACAATGTTGGAAGTTAACCTCATACATGGTAGATCCCATTTACCACAAATTACTCATGTGAGGTATGCACTTGCAGATAAAAAACAGACATCTGCAGTCTACCATAATGCCACTTGGGAAAGTCCTGATTTGGAACATTCATCTGTTTGCACTCTAAATTATATAGGAGTCTTTTCTAACCTGGGGCTCTCCTGAAGTATTGGTCTACAAATTCCCACAGAGCATAATCAATGGACATGTTCACTTAGGAATGATGGAACTTGAAAAAGTCCATTATAGAACTTGGATCTCAACATTTTAATGGCATTTTATTGTGAATACTCATATTAAAATTTACCCTTCTATCACTGGATGAGAAAGACATGCTCTTGGCAAGGTGGTACTGTCCAAAAGATTCATTGTCTCATTAACAATGTGATTGCTTCCACGGCCACATGATGTACCTGGATTAAGAAAGAGAATATCTCATTTTAGCAACACAGTCTGCTGATTCCAATTGTTTTTAAAGAGAATAAATGCTGGAACCAAAACTAAAACTTAAGTTCCTTAAAATATTGATCATGAAGTACTTTGATTCAGCAATCTTAGAGCACAGAAATTGAAAACTGGAAGTGGGGAGGGGGACTGGGGAAGCAAGTGAGGTTTTCCATGTCTTTTCCTGTGAGACCATAAATGGGAAAAAGGGGAGTTTTAGGAAACAGCAGCAATGGAAAACAAGATCTTTTAAAGAATAGATTCAGAGTATGCTCACAGACCCCTTCACGGTATTGCAGGTGGGTTTCAGCAAAGGACTAGCGCTGCTGTCAATTCATGTAACTGCAAATCCCATCTGATAAACCAGGCTCCATTCCACAAAGGCATTTCCCTTTCTGTGCAGGGCTGCCTTTGAAAGGTCCATGCCCTTGCACTGTGCACAATGTGGAAGTTCAGGTGCTCAGTAGCCAGGACACATCGCACCAATTTTGCACTGGTTACCAGAATGATTCTATCAGTTTCAGCCTATGAAGCCCTAAACCAGGGATGAGGAATCTGTAGCCTGCTCGCCTAAGATGTTGTGAGACTCCAACTCTGACTGACCTTCGCCTTTGGAGCTAAAGATGCAGTCTAGAATCATCTGGAGGGACACACTTTCCCCATCCTGCTATAACAGTTTGGGACCCCATTACTGCAAGGTCAGCCCATGCCTGCATGCACCTGCCCATCGTTTGAGACTGGAATGGAAGCCCCTGCTTGCTGAAGGCTGGCTGCTTGCAGCAATAATTTGATGGATAGGCACAAAAAAAGGAACTTCTCAGCAGTAGCCCCTATCTCACAAGGGATGAACGCTTGGCACCTTCAGAGACTTTTGATTGCCAAGAATGAAGACCTATCACTTCTGTGAATTTAACATTTGCGATTTCATTAGATAGGCAGCCAATTTTTATATATTGTGTATAATATAATGTTTTATGTTCTAATGCTTCAGTTTTACATATGTGGATTTTATTATTGCACTCTGCCTTGAGGGGACTTTGCAAGAGAGCAGTCCTGGGCAAGCATCCTAGGGACCACAAGGCTCCTCAGAGAACTACTGTGAAGCTGTAGGGCTGCAGCTACTGCTACAACTTCAGAAGGTGCATTCTGATATCTGATCTTTCTGCCACCCGCTCACCCTTGCAACTGCCACAGAAAGATCCCTGCTACTTGCTTCCCAAGGTCACAAAAGCAGCTTCAGAGAGGTCAGAAAGGGGACATGCGAATGGACAGGAAGGAAAAAGCCAGAGTATTGAAAATCCTATGGCCTCTGGAGCCCTCATATCCTCTCTGGACAGATCCAAAGACTCAGCTAGAGGCAAAAACCAATTATAGAGGACAAAGAGGTAAAAATGGTCTCCATCACTTCTCCCATCCTTCTCACACATCCTTGTCAGGGCATCTGTATTTGGGGGCTTCTATCTCATGAAGGTGCCATCTATAAGACTGTGTCCTAAATATGCTCATACTTGTGATAAAGAGCTTTCTTGTCCCTCCCATTTTATTTTGTTTTGTTTTGTTTTAGAACATGGCAGGAGCAATGAAAAAGGACACTCAATATATCTGTTACAGGTAGTAACCACTTTAATGCAGCTTATCATACAGTTAGTTTCACTGTATATCTACCTCTGTGCAAAAACCATACCTTTACAAACAATAGAAGCAACTTCAGTAAAATTTGTGGCTGATGATGGCAGCAATATTGGCTCAAGCAGCACAGAAAATGTTCCTTCCTGTGACAAGTGTTTTATATCCTGCAAAGAAAGCATATCATACTTCTATAATAGCTTTAGCTGTTGTAAAGTTCATATTCGTGAACATTTCAAGTTCCGAGTCACTGCAGTTTTCCGCATCGAGCCATTGCCATACAGGGTAATAATAAATATAGTATATTAATAACGTTCTTAACAATTTACCTTTACATGTAAAGACCTGTGATTCAGAGTTCTACGCAGTTTAAAACTAAGCAGATCAAGGCACACATGAGAATTCTGCTAGGTTTGGTTGTTTCTAATCACCACCATATTCTAGAGCAGGGGTCTCAAACTCGCGTCCCGCAGGCCAATTGCCGGGATGGGTGGGGGATGGGCCCTGTGGCCTTCAAAGGGCCAGCAGCGCCCGGTCCGGCCTCCGGGAGCGATGCGGGATGAGCAGCCCACCACCGCCGCTTGATGCAGCCCAGCCTCACCCAGACTCTACTTCCAGCGGCCCCCAGGTAAGTTGAGTTTGAGACCCCTGTTCTAGAGTATGTTCTGCTCCCCTACCCAGTCTTCACTGGGAACACTGGGAATGCTCTGTCCCTCACTCATTTTGGAATTACGATTCCTGCAGTGTCTAACGAGGCATGCAGACACAGTGAACAGTAGAGGAAACTTCAAATCACTGAAAGCTACACCACAAGGATAATGTGTAAATTAAGTATCTTGCTCATTAAGCTCTTCTCCTTATCTTATCGGGAAGCACTTGTCTCCCTCCCCATGCCAAAAGCAACATCCAGCCTTCCCCATAGGGTTATAGGAATACCCAGAGGGAAGGATGATCAGTCAAACAAAGATGCAAAAACAGCAATGAAATCAGAGTCCCACAGGATGCCAGTAGATGTAGATGCCAGGCAAGCTTCCTAGGGAGAAAGTCTGAGCCAGCAGGACACCACAGCAGAGAAGGTCCCTCCCACTTTTTCACCCATCAATTTGATTGATGAAAATTGCCTTCCATGCTCCCTCCTCAGTTTTCTGTCACTGTACATTTGGCTTCATGTCTTTCCATACTGGTTCCTTTAGCCTAGCTTCCCATTAAATTAGAACTGGAAAATCATAGTTTAATCAGGGCTTACAAAACAAGATAATAAACCCTGGTTTACCACTACAACACCCTTACCATCTGAATGTAGTTCACTGCTCACAAGTAGGACATTTCAGACTGTTCTCCTTGAATTAAGCATTTGCCATCCCCAATGTATATTTCAGTGATCTTCTGCACCTGGATAATACTAGCCAGTGACATTCACCCAGCAGAAATACTTTAAGTAATTATTTATAATTACTGTTTTCCTGCAAAGCGTTGGTGAATATTATAATTAAAAATGCAGTTGTACTACAAAATATAATACAGAAAATAATTACCTGCACATACAAAAGATTGTTCCCTGAATGCAACACATACAAGATTACTGGGGAATCATCTGTTCAAAGAAAACCAAAATCAAAGATGAAACTTCCATTGCATCTGTGTGCATTAATAAAAAAGCCATAGAATAAAAAAAAACATGCCGATTCATATCTGGCCTACCTGAAGTGTGTGTTTTGTCCATTGCTACATAAACTACAAAAAGATTTTCCAGTAAGTATTGTCTAAGGTCCACAAATTCATGCTGCATATTTTCCATTCTGACCATTAAACTGATTTCTAGCAGCAGCTGATCATCAGATGCAAAGCAGCAGTTCTAATATAAAATAAAAGGAAATCCAAAAAAATTAATCATGAGAGACTAATATTCAGAATGTCAATTCTTAAGTAACTGCTAACAATTATAATTATCTGAGCCATGAATGCTCTTGCACAAAATTGCTGTGTTTGATACAAGTGAACAGGTGCTCTCCTGAAATTCTGATGTGAGTTTCACACTGGGCCAGCATGTATTTTTTCTGACAGAGATGCACAGTGGTGGGATAACATAGTAAATCTTCTGTCTCTTTACGATAGATAGAATGAAAATACTTCAGGCCATTCTGTGCTGGAAAAACTAAATTTCTAGACAGTTAAGCAATCAAAAATGAATCAGTGGTTTTTTTATTCATTTGTGTATGTGTGTGCACAAGTGAGTGCGAGAGAGAGAGAAAGAGCGAGATCCACTCACAGAGAGACAGACATACAAAGGGGGAAACTAACTTCCATCTAACATGACTAATAGAACTTCTAAAAGTTAGCTTAGACAGCACCTTCAAAGGGAATGAAAATCTATTAGCCTATCTGAAAAAGAGACTGAAGAAGTAATTGGGACACACCCAGCACTGGGCCAGCAAGCTGTTGGCTTCCCTGTTCCCCAGAAGCCTCAAAAGCACTCAAAATGTTACAAAGGAAAAAAGAGACTTTCCTGAACAGGACTGTCTATGGCTCAGGGAACTGAAGAAAGAAGGGAAATCCCAGAAGAGGAAGAACCAAACACCTTCCATTACTTTGGATCACTGCAATAGTATGATATTTCCTATTAGCCGGTCATGCATATTCAAAGAAAAAGATTCCAGCCATTATTAATCCAAGACACCCAACAATTTCTAGGTGGAAAAAGCCATGATCCTCTAAACAGAGGTGCATAACCTTTCTGATTTCAGCCAGGGTGCTAAAGGTCCCCCATATATGTTCATACCTGTGCACATACACTGACACTCAGGAAAGATCAGAGATACAGGAACAGTGCTGTGCACTGTCACTGCTAAGTCCTAACCCTCAAAATGGCACAAATGCTTAGTTTCAGCATTTCTTGAGCACCACCAGAGGTATAGTTTTTGCATTCCAACACTGTCAATATTAGATTCCACATGAACTAAAAAGGACTGCATTAATGGGCAAGGCATTCAAAAGTCAGTAATGCCAGCCAGTTCACAGTTTTCAAGATTAATTGCAAACCCAACACAGAGAATCCAATACAGAAGATATGGGCCAAATTTGTCTATAACCTAGTAGGGCAAAAGAGATCAGTGTTTTAAGGGGTTACTCATGCACGAGTAACAACTTATCTCAGTTTATCATATAACAGGAGTTCCAATTAAAGTGTTTTCTATCACATATAAGAACCTGAGATAGTCTTAAAGTTACCCCTGAGACAATGTTATCTTGAGGTAGCCCTGAAAAGACCACTTGGGCATAAATACTGAAGTGCCACAGAAAGAGCCAGGACTACATCAAGCCCACAAATGGGACCAGCTCAATTTCATTTTGGTGGGAAGTCTGTACAGCTGGTACATACAACATTGGTGAGCAGTAGTTAAATGTAGATTTAAGAACAAACACATACATCGTACCTTAAAATGTTGATACAATTTGTTATGTAAACTGCACTGAAGACGAACTTTTAAGTGACTGACATTTCTAGGTTCTGCCTGAAAAAGAGAACAAACACAACCAGAATGTAGCTGGGTAAAAAGTGGAAAAGTAGATGAAAACTAGAAGGTCTAAGCAAGGTTTTGTTTGTGTAATGGTATGTGCCAGGAACCCTGGACCAACAAAGACAACCGCATTCCTATGCTAGAGTGTACGCAGGCAGAAGCAATCCATTTATCTAGCTGACACACCCTAGCACTGCCACTGAGAGGCGAAATCCTGCAGAAGATGCTGCAATATAGGCCTATACATTTTGATGTATGCATTCATTTCAGAAATATTTCTAAACCCAAGTTTGCCCACTTAAAAACCCAGATATTTACTTACTTTTTTGAAAACACTTTTAAACACATTTTCTTGGTCTTACATCCTCCAATTCTTTAGTAAATGCAACTCTAACAGCACATGTGGGTCAGCTTCTTTGATTTTAATGTTTTTACTCTTTTATTTTCAAATGTGTATAACACTTTGTGCCTCCAAATTAGACCTCTTGAGTATACTTGCAAAGGAATCCATATACCCAATACAAGTATAAAAACATAAAATAAAAGCCAGTGCTTAACAGTGCTTGCAGTGCAAAAAGTTGGCTGACCATTATTTAATTTCATTTTCTTGTTAAAAAATATTCCCATGAGGGGACAACACACATCAGATCTTATCATTTAATTGGTTCTGGCTTATTTTTTAAGAGTACATCTCAATTTTTCTTACTATACCACATTTTGCAGGTAAAAGTTATATCAAGGACCAAAACGTGTCAATAATTCGTTATTATAAATGGAGAAGAACTACCAGGACAGTCACATAAACATTTGCAATGAAAATTCACTTAACAAACTAATATAATGTGAACCACAGTAATAATTCAGAAACTCATATTTTTAGTGCAATCTCTAAAGAAAGGACCAACTTTTATGTTGCAATGGCACAAAATAAATAGCCATAACATTATGTCTAACAAATGTGCATCTGTTACCACATTTAATTTAGCAAACCTCTTCCCCTTACATCTGCCATTTCATGCAGAGCAAGCTTGGGTTTGCAATACTTGAAAAAAAATTAAAATAATGATAATAACTAAAATAAGTAGGTAATTAAATAAATATTACTGCTTCTGCTTATAAAAGGACCTTTAGAAGAGCTTGTTCTGTGTCCTAAGGCAAAAGCAACAAAAAGTAGCTCAAACAAGTGCTTATGAGTAACATCCCCAGTTTTCAGGGTCAGAATAAACTTGATTCTTGCCTAGAAGTTATTCAAGCAACCCACAACTCTAGTCTATTATTATAAAGCCGTTTCCTATTTGCAAACTTGGAAGCTCAGTTTTCAGGATACAAATCATACCCTTATGTTTTGTTCTTTCATATATGAATTTGAACAACTAGCTGAATGCACAGCTACAGACTTCAAGGCAATTTTACTTTGCCTGATGATTCTAACAACAGTAATATAAAATGGATAGTTTTCCTCAAAGATTAGAGTATGGGAATTCCCTCAGTATTGTGCTGCCCTTGCATGTGATCTGAGAGCTGCAGCTAGTGCTTGTATTAAAAGAACCGCTCTGGCTACTTATTAGCTCTGGAGACACTTTCAGATTTTCTGCACTGAGCAACACTGGAGCAGGATATCTAACCGACTATGCTCCTCATATTCATCACATCAACTCTTGAACTCTGATGAGGTCCTTCTAGTTGTCCCAAGATCAACAGTGCATTGTCAAGTAATGGCATCCTTTCCCATGTGTGGTCTGACAGGCAGGAACTGTAGTGAGCTTCAGGTGCTTCTTCAAGGCATGCCTGTCTATTCAGGCATTGCCTTGGCTATTTCCATAACATTCTTAATGTATTGGTAAATGCTTTCATATTGTATCCTATTATTTTTATGTAAAATTCTTAGGGATCGTATGGTATTCAATGGTACATAAGTTGCGTAAGAAAAATAAAATAAATAAAGCAACTAATCTGAAAAACATATTGATTCATTTACCAATACCTATACCAGTAGTCTCTCTTATTTCAACTGTTCCCATTTTTTTTCACTCGAGGAAAGTAAAGCGTATGGCCCTCCATTCTCTACTATCAATGTTACAGCAATTCCACACACAGCAGCTTTGGAGCAGTGACAGGTCATCACTTGCTTCCCAAGTAACAAATTAAATTAAGGTTATGGTGTTCATTTTTACTCAACAGTTTGCCTCAGAATATCTTCAAGCTGGCCTAATATTTCAGGGCCATACTAGATAAAGCAGATCTGTGAGGTAAGATCAGTATTTACTTCAATTATGTAGAAAACTGGGAATTTCAGGACAAGTTTAGATGTCTTAGTATAGATAAAGGGGGAAAGAAAAGTAAATCAGGGAGCTGGATCACAATCAGGGAGCATCTCACTGTGACAGAAAGATAGAGTAAGGGTACAAGCTTACGTACTTCTAGACAACTTCCAGATTTCCCCAACCAGCTATACTGACTAGGGAATGCTGGAACTCCAGGATTTTTTTCTGTGTAAATGTTCATAGGATTATGCTGAAAGCTGTACTAAAATAACGGAGACCACACAGAGCAAGTTGCATGGATCCACAATTCAGAACAATTCAGCACTGACTGAGCTACTCATTTTCAAATATTCCAAACCTGAAGTCCACACACAGACTACCTTTTTGGGTACAGGAGAAAATGGTTGAGCTACGGTACAAGGTGGCACATTTATTTAGACAAATTGTGCTGGGAGATAACCATGAGTAAATTAAGGAGAAGTGCAACAAAAACTTTGCATGCAGGAGAGCTGAGGTTCTAGTGGTTAGTCACATATATTATGTTTAGTATTATGCAAGAGGCTGAGGTACAAGTTTGATTTTTTTTAAACACCATACTGTCCGTAATGGTAACTTAATATTTGTTTCCAAAGTATACCATACCAGTGCTTGTGAGATCTGGATACTGTTGATATGTGGAAGTAGTAAATAAGTATTTGCTAACTGCTTTCTAGACTCTTCTGAAATTGTCCTTGAAGTTCCTGTTCCAAAGACCTGGTTCAAAACAGCAGATATTGACTCTTTCCAAACAATTCCAACAAAAACTGAACGTCTTCTTACAGCACACAGTAGCTAGTGTACATCAACAGAAACAGGTTAAAACTATTCAGTAGTCAGTGGCAAATGTTTGTAGAAGAGAAGCTCACATAACATGGCGACCTAGCCTGAGATCCTACTTTCATGACAAACACTCTGGCACATTTTCTCATTTGTTCTTTGACAGAGAATATGCAACCATGAATCTGCATACATTTGATGCTTTACAAAAATTTGAAAAACAGGTACTTACCACGACATAGCTCAGGCAAGCCTTCCCATTTTGACAATTTGTTTAATTTCCCAATTTGTGTAATTGTGCAACTTGGGAAAACCAACAAATAAGCAATTTTTAAAATTACCCCCCAAATGCACATATTCAGTTATGCAGAGCGCCAAACTAATGACAGCTCCTCCAATGAGCCACTTGGGCATGTTAGACAAACTGTCATTTGTGGTGGCTTGAACAAGCAGGCAAGAGAAGCAAAAGATACTTGTCACTCTATCCAAGCAGCTTACGCACTACTTCCCTGAACCCACAATGGGCTTGGATAATATGAAAATCCATCATGGATCAAAGAGCTCCTTCAACAAGCCTTGGGTTGAGAGGTCAGCTTGTCCACAAATAAGCCACCTGGGTGGGAAATGATCCATGATCACATGACACAACAACCCACGGCAGCTAGTTTCCCATTGATGGGTTGCCATATCATGCAAAACCTGTCACAGAAACATTTTCAGTGCACAAAGGCATCCAAAAATGTTTACAGCCTTTTGTGCCTGTTCACTGCAGCTTCAGCAACTTTTAAAAGTGGTATTTCTTTTTGATTATATGATCCCAGGCAGCTTTGGATGACAGTCAGTGTGAAAACACTGTAACAACCTGTAATGAATAATTTCTGGCTACAGAATGACATCACAAAGCCAATTGAGAGCAAGGACAATGCTTTCTGCCATTACCCTGAATGGACAAAGGATTATTTGCAGACTCCTGAAAAAATGCTGAAAGAAGGTGGATGGCAGGTGGCCGGGCTTACTCAGAGCGTGCCTTATGAACAGTATGAACAGAGCACAACTGGATTATCAGGTTAAAACTATGTCACACTACACTGTAAAAATATTATTTTTCATCCAAATCTGCTATATCACATCTGAGAAAATAAATGTCAGAATACATATTCATTTGGTCCTTTATGTAGCATATCAAAAACAAGATGGTTATTAAAATGTACAGAGAATTTCAAAATGACATTTTGAAGTCTCCAGATAAAGATTGCTAAGGAAAGTCATTTGAAATATATGTATATTCAAATTCATTTCTCCTATTTTGATGAATATGTATTCTCATGGGATAATAGCTTTCTAGGTAAGATCCCTGAAAGAGAAAAAAAGATTCCATTTGCAGTTTCTGCTGAGGTAGCCTCCCACGGCTCCTTGGAAATCAGTTTACTCTGAAGGGAAGGAGGCATATACAGGACAAAATTATCAGCGTTCCAGAAATCCCCTTGTCCAGTCATCACTAGTGATAGTTCCTTCCTCTTCTAGTAAATGCCACTGCCTCATAGGACTATCATAAAAATATACTGGACTTTTACAGAGCACTTGAGAGGAAGCTATATAAAGGAAGATAAAATACAAATCTGCCTACTTGTCTGTGAGTTTTTAATAGAAGTGTAGCTGACCATTTTTGACTCAGAGAAACTAGACTACAAAATATTTGGCTATTAAAACATCGGAAGATGAACAAAAAAGGCACCAACAGTGTTTTCATATGCTGCATGTAGGGCTTTCATACGATGTAGGGGGATTGTGCAAGTTGTCCAGTAACTTGGCTTCTTTTTTTGAATGCCTGACTACATGTTGATTCAAATTTTTCATTTACAAATGTTTCAATGTTCAAAGAACTACTCATAGTTATCTTAAGTTTTGAAGACAAATATATAGATGGTACAACATCCACTGCAATAAGAAATTCTCTACTACAAACCACTTTAAACTGAATGTAAACACTGCTTCAAAATCCCCAACTAGTACACACAGAACCAGCAAGTACAAGCAGTTCTACACTACTAAAATAATGAAAAATGCAATATAACCCTTTTGTGGATGGGCTACAAATGAAGCAACTGTCTGTTTCACAAACACTAATCATGGTTTATTTAAGCCGTATTTGTTGCCTTTTACAGGGCTTATCTGGTAGATGATCAAATAAACCATGGTTTGTTGTGCACAAGACACTGCGTAGTGGTCCTTCTCTTTCACCCGCTCACTTCCCTTCCTGCACCTCCTATGCCTTCGTGCCAGTGTAGTACTAGCACGTAAACAGACAGTGGTCGGGTTATGAAGGGATTTTTTTAAACCATTCTTGTGCACTGCTTCCATAGCCTGGCTCAACAACCCACAATTCTGGGTCTGCACATAATGACAATTCATAGTTAAAACACTCTCAGTTGTCAACTGAACAACAAAGCATGATTTCTTGTTAGAGGTTGTTCATGGTTAATAACACATAATTAACCCATTGTTTTGGGTTCACACATAATAAACATCTATGAATCAACAAACCATTTGTTGTTCGATGTGAACCACATCTCTGTAACTCCCTCTCAAGAAGTATACAGCCTTCTCCTTTTGTGCTGTTTTGCAGAGGGTTTTTAAAACTTATTTGTTTTCCTTGACTTGTGAGTGAAAGGTTTTTATTATATATGCTGCTGTTGCTGCTGATTCATTTTAAAGTTCATTTAAAAATTTTACAAACTCATATTGATATAGGATTGTATGCTTGCCTTCTGAAGACTGTTAGCCTTCAAGGATAGCTAACATATGCATTGACTAAATAAAAAGTAAAATGCAATTAAATAAAACCAGGCCCCACCCCGCCCCATTACACTGATGGGAAAGAGGGTTTTTCCTTTGCAGCAGAGTAGGGGACTCATCATGCCAGGCTTCAAGACTGGAAAGCGTTTGTGCCACACTAGCTCTAGCAAATCAAACATGCTCCAAAATCCACTCAATAGATAATGCCCTTTTTCCTTTATTTCTCTATCCCAACTTCTGGTAGCACACCACAGTAAGTCTATGAATGTTAGCTGTAAAACTGATACACCTTTTCCCATACTTTGGGATCTTAGGTGCCTCTAAGCTGTTATCCTCAAATTTGGCAGGAGTAAACAGCACACTACCTCCTTTAAAAAAACCATTTAGGATTTTCAAGCAATAATGCAATTCTATGCATGTCTACTTGGAAGTAAACCCCACTGAGTTTATTAGTGTACTTACTTCCAGGCAAGTTGTGTATAAAACTGCACCCTAAAACACTCCAAGTCCAAACATCCCCCCTCTCCAAAATCTCAGTTCACAAATGCTTCTTTGAAAATTATGTGCAAACATCTGAGATCAACTACCAGAGAGAGAAGCCACTCAGTTGCCTCTTCTCCAGTGTAAAAGTAAAAAAATCCCTAGAGGCAGTAGAAAACCAGAAAGACAGACATCTTTAGACTTTAGTCCCTTGTACACGGTGATGCTCTCTTCAAGTCTTACTTAATAATTCCCGAGAAAAATTGGCAGTTTCCTATTTTTCCCACTATGACATCATTTGAAAACAAGTATCTTCTAAATCTCAAGCTGGTGAATAATAAATTACCTGATATGAAAATACTCCATGAGATGAGGTATTTATAAATAATGAACTTTCAAAACTGCCTTCTTCTATTGGAAGAAACAGTACTCTGAAATAAATTTTCCCCATTGCTGGAATCACCTACAGATAAAATAAAAGTGTCTGATGTTCAATAAACTTAAATAGCAATAAATTTATTATAGACGTTAAAATTAAAAGGAGGGTCACCACCCACTCCTTGCCCCACTACCTCAGACCTAGTCCCACACAGTTCCTTACACCGCCCTCCATGTAGCCTGAAAAACAGTAAGGAGCAGCTATCAGCAGCACTGGGCTCCCTTTCTATGGCCAAGAGCTAAACATGGTTACTCTATTTCTCCCACAAAGGATCACAGCAGAGATGGCATCTGGGTTCAGATGCACCACTAAACCATGCCCTAGCACTGCAGGCAGTAGCAGCCGCTAGTCTCAGGCTCATATGCTCCCTCCCGCTTCAAGATACAATTAAAGGCTTCCAGTCATAGTTAGCAACTAAACATGGTCCAGACTAATAAAACCACTGTCACTGTTACAAGAGATCTACTGTAATTCATTTGTACAAGTTATTTGCAAGACCATAGTTCAAGACTGCAAATATACTTGACTCATGGAAGTTCTACCATATGTTTACTACATTCCTGGCATCTCCAGATAAGGCCTGAAAAATTTCTGCCCAAAACCCTGACTCAGTGTAAGGCAACTTCCTATGTATGTTTTTTCTAGACAAGCGACACTGTCAGGTGGATGAATCTGGTGGAATCCGTGACAGTGTCACTGTTATGAGGCTAATTTTCAAACAAATGCGACTGAAGCTGCAGCCAACTGGAGTGGTAAAAGGCACAAACTGACTTCAGAGAAGAAAGCTTTTGTGTGTGCTATTTCGGAGGGGCTGAAAGCTGTTTCTTGTACTGAAAATATATGTGGGGGAACATTCAGCTCAGACCTAATAAAAATAAGCTGGAAGATCAAGAAAAGCTAATGGCTGGGAAAGCAGGGAAGAAGAACCAGTTAACTAATGCTTCAGGCCAACGAAAGCATGAAACTCTGGCACCTTGCCACAGCATAGTTTCCAAAAGTACATCAGCACTCACCCTGCTATGAACAGGAGACACATGAAAATGTCTAGTAGCTGTAAACACTGAATTCACTATAACATCTCTATCCCTACTAGGATTGTATGCATATAGCATTTTAGCTTTAGGCAGTCCCAGTAACCTAGGGGAAAACAAAAGAGGACAGAATTGTTATAACAGTATGGGGGAAAGCACCCAGATAATACTTTCCACTTGCGATACAAACAAAGAGTGTTCAAGACACCACAAAATTGTATCATCCTATACACAGTTTAGCTCCGAGAGAATTGTATAAACAATAGTGCTGGGATGGTACAGACAAAGAATCAAACCATGGCTTGGTATGACATGAGCATACCTCAGTCACCCTTATTTGTTATGTTAATGTATCAGTATAGTTAGAAGGAGCAGCAGACTGGTTTAGATGTGACCCATACCAAGAATGGGAAAACCTGAGCCATGGACTAATTTCAGCACACTGGACCATCCCATCCAGCCAGTGAAAGCAAGACTCCACATTCTCTCTGAAGTTCCACCCCTTCTGAGTAGGAAGAGGGGATTTGAGAAGGACTGTGCTGCTTCCTCAACCAGCATTTGCTGAAATTGAGGATGAATTTGCTTCATTCCCCCCTTGCCTTCCTTGACAGGAGTAATGGGAGATGAGGGAGCGAAACCGACTGGGAAAGGCAAGAGAGGAGCAAAGTTGGTGCCACACTTGACACTTCACTTGCTGGAGGCTTCTTTCCATTTCTCTGTGCAAAAAAGAGCATGGCATGATCAGTCAGTACACAAGAGAAAGGGAAAGGAGCCAGCTGATGTCGAAGAAAGGGGGCCCATCCCTGCTGTCATCTGGTTCCCAGAAGGCAATTCAGTGGCCCAACCCCCACCATACCATAGGTTCAGCACTACCTCAGCAAGACTAGGTGCGCCTCCGGCTTCTCTACCCCCTCCCTTTTTCTCTGGCACAGCTGCAAACAGAAGGTGAGAAACACCAGCTTCCTCGTTTAAATCAGCCACAGTGTGTTACATCTGAACCAAGATTTTGTTTTCTGATCATGGCTTGTTTCAGTAAATAATAGTTTAAAATATCCAGAGTTAGGTCTGGTTTAGACATAATGGAATAAATGGGTCAGTTTAAACGAAGAAAGAGGATACCATACCAGAGAAGGGGAACACATGAACCCAAGATTTAACCAGGCTTATGGAAAGTAAGTAATGGAAAGTAATGGAAAGTAATGCTTTAGTGTTACTTGGCCAGTAAACCATATGTGCTCAAGCAACAAAGTGGCTGGGACAAGAAGAACACATTTTTTTGATAAATAACTTGATAGTTATTCATTTATTGTTTAAATATACAAAATACTCACTGCATTCCAAAATGGAGAATTGAGGGATGAAAATGGATGAGACTCCCATTAGGCATTTTTGTGGACAAGCTGAAAAAGAAAGAAAAAGTAATTGTAGTAATTTTATGCAAAATAAGTTAAAAATAGTTAAAATTAGTGTCATGCCATTTTTTGTATCCCTGTATTCAAATTGTCAGTTTACACAAATTCTTGAATCCAATAATATATTGCTATATTTAATCAACATTTCATAGTCCTACTATGCCTACTTTCACAAAAGATTTGAAAGCTTATATCTAGATGTATACTAAAATATCTAATGCAAGTTATATTACTGAAACTTAATGCTGAGAATGTGAAGGAAGCACCAAAATTCAAGATTAACTGTCAAAAAGTACTGTCAAATGTTCTTGTAGCTTCAGTCTAAATATTATGAAGACACATAAGCAAAGGTCTGTTGAAGGGAGGGATTTTCTCTTCATGTTCCGCTGTACACAAACTGGCCTCCGTGTGATCTAGAAGCCTGGTAGCACAGGATTTTCGATCAGATGGAGGACTCCTTGCATAAAGTATGCAAGGAAGCTTCACGTCTGAGATGTTCATGCCATATCCACTAATACCTGCAAGATCCCATGTGTGCACTGGGGGTGAGGCTAAGCAAAGCAATTGTACTCCTTCTTACTTGTAGAAGAAACTGGATTTTTGCATACCTGAAAGGACCTGGTATGTTTAGGCAAAGTAAATACAGAAAACCTATCTAAGAGCCCATTAATGGAAATATGCCCTATGAAAGCATAATGCATATATTGCTACAAAATGTTACCTAATTTTCACAAAAACAACTGTTAAACAAACAGACCTCAATTAAATTCTAAAGCTGAAAGCACAATTTTTCCAACTTTTACAGAAAAGGACAAGAAAATGAATATTGAAGAACACTTTCCATATCATCACTTGCCAAAACACAACAATCTGCCTAGTGATACTTATTGATAATCACAGGGAGCATGACTTGGAATTAGAGCACACAGGCAGCCTTCCTTAGTCTAATAAGAACTGAACTCGGAAAAGCCTTCTGATGAGTAAAGTGTCTGACAGCACTGCTGGAAGTGAGTGAAGAACCACCTGAGACAACATTATCTACTTATTGGGATTCTGCATGCTTACTGCAGAGAGATCCAATTACAGGAAGCCCACAATTTGGAAGGGGGCTGAGGCACTGAGGAAGGGATAAAACTTCCTCACATTCTTTTCCTGATCTAAACGTTTTTGGTGCATACACACACACACATGCACCAAAAACTTGCTTTGCCCCATGCAAGAAAATGTACAGGTACATTGTACCTTTTTGTTTTCTTCACTGACAGACAGAAGTGGGAGGAAGGGTTAGACTGCTGGTGGGGGGGGGGGGGGTGGCCAGACTTTGATTCATACATTCTCCTGGCTGCTTGCTATTAAAAAGTAGCAACGACAAAGAAGAGTCCAAAGTTCTGTCCAAGGACCTCCTGCTGTGTTATCCAGTTTGGCTCTTAGCATCTATTTATTTGGATTCCAAAATTTAATTCAGAGTTTGGAAGAAGACCTCAAAAATATGAAGTCTCACCATTCTGAATGAACTAAAGATTAGCCAAGAATTTAAAAGATTGGCAAAGCAAAAATCTCATGTTTTTGCTCAGAACACTTTTGAAACTTGAGAAGTTTAAAGTTCCCCACTTATAATATCAAAGTGCTTATACACATCGATCTTGGCTCCATCTACTTTTAAAAGTAAGACCTGCCTGTCCATCACTTTCCTTCTCTCAAGGAACTGAATAGTATTCCAGAAGTAAAAGAGGTAAGTGTACACAAATGTTTAGCATTTTGCTTCACAAAAAAAAAAAATATTTAAAGGTAATCATCTGATCTATTAACTGGTTATACAACAGAAATGTATTGCACTTTCAGACCTTATAAGGAATACAAAAAATAGAGAAGCTTCTCAAACAGTTGCTGCAAGAGCAGTGCTCTTAAATGAGATTTTGTTTTATAATTGCTTTTTATGTGAAATGGAAACTGTGAAAGGGAAACTGAAGAGGGTAGACACAAGAACAAAGGTGAGAGAGTATCAATTATATTAATACGTTTCAAAATAATTTTATAAAATATCCACGAGTGTGCTTACTCAAAACCCAAACAAAAGTTGACAGAAGTGCATTTGCGGGGGCTTCACAGAATTGGCATTCTCTCAAAAGTCTACCCCAACCTCATCTGACTTTAATCTGGCATTATGCACATGATGGGCATGTCATGAGTGGAGCCGGCTGGAGCCAGGGGTCAGACTAGATGGCCGGGGAGGACCCTTCTGACTTGCTCTGTTACTATGTTTCCATGTGTATTTATTGTTACACTTTTGTGCACTTTACCCTCTACTATTATACTATTGTTTCATTCTTAATAAGAATTATTGCAGAAGAGTCTAGAGCTACTGCAGGGTAGTAGTTAAGAAGGAGGGTCTGGGAGTCAAACAACCTGGGTTCTACTCCCTGCTTAACCATGGAGCCAACTGGGTGATTTGGGCCCAACCTACCTCACAGGGTTGTTTTTGTGGGGATCAGACTGAGAGCAGCAGGAGGAGAATAATGATGTAAGCTGCTTTGAGTTCTTTAAAATAAAAATGTGGGATATAAATCTGATAAATAAATAAATTGCAAAGCTACATGCATGTATCTGGGGAAAAGCCCACTGATCTCAATGGAACTTGCTTTTCAGCAGACACGTATAAGCTTTGTAATGCAAGGTAGTGATCCTACATACTGTATATCCTGGCATATAAGGCAACTCATATATAAGACAAAGTTGATATTTTGGGCTGTTTCTGGTGTTTACCATATGTCGGGCATATAAGACAACCCCCATTTTTTGCTTTGCTATTTTCAGTTCATGGGGCATCTTATATGCTGCATATACAGCTTTTTGTCAGCTGAAGAATCCAGACAGACAGCTGGGTGGGGAATGCTTCCCTTCCAACAGCTGGCACAGAACAGTGCAGCAGCAGCGGCACCCTCCCCCTGCACCAGGGCAGGTGGGGTGGGCACCGGACTCGGGAGGCTCGCGATGAGACACAGGAGGAGCTCCCCCGGAGTGGAAAATGCTGTCCTTCCCAGCCACTGCTGCAGCTCGCCCAACCTGGGGTGCTGTCCCCCTCCCTGGCAAGGGACCAGGTGCATGTCCATGGCAAGGCTGCCAATGTGATGTGAAAGGCAACCAAGGGAATTTTTCAGCTGGCATAAAAGATGATCACCAATTTTTGGTTTGCTATTTCCAGTTTCAAGGGTCATCTTATAGCCTGGAATATGTGGTAGACTCTCCTGACAGCAAGCTCCACTGAATACTGTGGGGCTTGCTTCTGAATAAATATGCCCAGGTCTTTGTGGCTTTTTAAAAACAGTTGCTCAACTATATACTTGCTCTTTCAAAAAACCAGAAACGTTTGATGACACAACAGGTTTTTTGCTTTCCAAAATCTCAAGAAATAAAAACTGTATTAAACCCCCCCCCCCCAACAGTAAGCATACTTGTCAGCTTATTTTTATCTTCACTGAGTAATTCTAGCCAAGGTTTAATAATTCCCAGAGGTTTAATATTGCAGGTACTTTATTTGTTGTAATAACACAGGTCCTACCCCAAACTTGAAGCAGGAGCCTGGCCCTAGACTGAATTGCAAGAGGAGGCATGCTGCCAGCGGCAGTACATGTCACTGAGTGCCTGAGCCTGCTGTTTTTCCAGTTCTTTCCCATGTATTCATTTAGGTTCGGCCTGTTCCACTCACATTTCCAAGGCTAGTTCTGCAGCTGGAGAAGCTTCTGCAGCTGAACAACCTACACTACACCCGCATTGATTTTACTGGATGTAAGGAGCAACACTATACCACAACATTCTGTTACTCTTGTTGCTGTTAATTTATTGCTGCTACTACTCCAGTAACAGAAACATCTTTGGATTCCACTTTCAGAGAAGAAGAATTATCATCAAAATGCTTCATTACAGATTATGGGAAACAAATAAGAAAACCCAATCCTTCCATGACACTGGAATGGACAGTCCTACTGGTTTTGTATCTATTTGCCCAAATAATGGACCATTGTAACCAGACTGATAATGAGCACATAGCCCTGAAATAGGACAATTTTGCCTCCGTGAACTGCCTGCACAGGTAAGTGGGTAGAGACATACATCAAACATAAGTGGGAAGATGAGGAGGAGGAGGAGGAGGAGGAGGAGGAGGAGGAGGGATCAGGTGAGGCACTGGAAATGTAGACAGAGGGGAAAAGGTCACTTGATCCAGAATGAATTATATTCAGGGTATCTGATGGTGACTTTTCTGATACAGATGCACACTTCAATGTTGTGGCCCAAGCTCCCTTCCTTACCTGCCTCTTTCCTTACCAAGTCCAATACGAAGCTGTCCAGATTTACTGCCTGCCTGATATTGAGGCCAGAGGTGTGGGAGGGAGGGAGGGACGGAGGGACGGAGCGAACGAGGGGATGGCAACCTGCTGTTTCCAAGGGTGGCACCTGAGACTGTGACTACCATCTGTGGCTTGGGGAATATCTGCAGTAAAGCAACTATCCTTCTCCTTCCTGGAGGACCTGGCTATGCTGCTCTGGGGAGGACAAATTTTTAAAAATTGGGCATGTGTGCTCGTCATCATTGGTACATACAGAAATACATTGATTTTTAATAACTAGGGAAGAGAAAACAAACAGTAGCAAGATTTTACCTGCACTAGGCAAACCAGAGGTGGTTTTGCTTTTCACTGTCATTCATCAGAGAGAAAAACAGCAGTGCAGAAACCAATGTCAAGGAATTATGTATATAAGTAGGGCATGAGTACTGCAGGATTGTTGAAAGCTCCTCCCTGCCTGTGCACATGCACGCACGCGTGCACACACACACAATCAGCAGCTGCAAACTCAGGATCCCATCAACACATGTATTACTGATTTTATATTAACTTAGTAATTGGCCTGAAGACTCCTTTTGTTCAAATTAAATAGTTTGAGTAGTTTGAAATTAGGCAGCTCTTTTTACAAATTCACAAACAGAGCTC